GACGCTTTTACACACACAGACTTTTACACACACAGACGCTTTTACACACAGACGCTTTTACACACAGACGCTTTTACACACAGACGCTTTTACACACTGAGACTTTTACACACACAGACACTTTTACACACAGAGACTTTTTTTTTACACACAGAAGCTTTTACACACAAACACTTTTACACACAAACACTTTTACACACAGACGCTTTTACACACAGACGCTTTTACACACAAACACTTTTACACAAACAGTTTTACACACAGACGCTTTTAAACACACACGCTTTTACACACAGACGCTTTTTACACACAGACGCTTTTTACACACAGACGCTTTGACACACAAACACATTTACACACAGAGGCTTTTACACACAAACGCTTTTACACAAACACTTTTACACACAAACACTTTTACACACAGACGCTTTTACACACAGACGCTTTGACACACAGACGCTTTGACACACAGACGCTTTTACACACAGAGACTTTTACACACAGAGACGCTTTTACACACAGAGACTTTTACACACAGACGCTTTTACACACAGACACTTTTACACAAACACTTTCACACACAGACGCTTTTACACACAAACGCTTTCTACACAGGGGCTTTTACACACAGAAGCTTTTACACACAGACGCTTTTACACACAGAGACTTTTACACACAGACGCTTTTACACACAGACGCTTTTACACACAGACGCTTTTACACACAGACGCTTTTACACACAAACGCTTTCTACACACAGGGGCTTTTACACACAGAAGCTTTTACACACAGACGCTTGTACACACAAGCATTTTTACACACAGACGCTTTTACACACAGACGCTTTCTACACACAGGGGCTTTTACACACAGACGCTTTTACACAGAGATACTTTTACACACAGACGCTTTTACACACAGACGCTTTTACACACAGACGCTTTTACACACAGACGCTTTTTACACACAGGCGCTTTTACACACAGACAAGTCCGGCACAAGTAAAATCGCAATTTTACCGCAGTTTTTGACGATCGACCCTCATTTCGTGCGAAAGGGTTGCTCGGGGGCAAGTAAAGTCGCAATTTTTCCTCAGTTTTTGACGATCGACCCTCATTTCGTGCGAAAGGGTTGCTCGGGGGCAAGTAAAGTCGCATGTTTTCTTCAGTTTTTGACGATCGACCTTCATTTCGTGCGAAAGGGTTGCTCCAGGACAAGTTGAAATCGCATTTTTTCCTCAGTTTTTGCCGATCGACCCTCATTTCGTGCGAAAGGGTTGCTCCAGCACAAGAAAAATCGCAATTTTTCCACAGTTTTGGCCGATCGACCTTCATTTCGTGCGAAAGGGTTGCTCCAGGACAAGTAAAATCGCAATTTTTCCTCAGTTTTTGCCGATCGACCTTCATTTCGTGCGAAAGGGTTGCTCCAGCACAAGTAAAGTCGCATTTTTTCTTCAGTTTTTGCCGATCGACCCTCATTTCGTGCGAAAGGGTTGCTCGGGGGCAAGTAAAGTCGCAATTTTTCTTCAGTTTTTGCCGATCGACCTTCATTTCGTGCGAAAGGGTTGCTCCAGGACAAGTAAAATCGCAATTTTTCCTCAGTTTTCTCATTTCGTGCGAAAGGGTTGACGTTTCGTGACTCACCGCCGGTACCACCCTCGGCCTAAAGAGAGAAAGATAAAGAAGGCGAGAGAGAGAAAAAGGAGAGAGAAAGGAGAGAGAAAGGAGAGAAGATGTGAAGGTGAGAAGATGTGAGAGAAGGTGTGAAGATGAGCAGATGTGAAGATGAGCAGATGTGAACATGAGCAGGTGTGAGAGAAGATGTGAAGATGAGCAGATGTGAGAGAAGATGTGAGAGAATATGTGAGAGAAGATGTGAAGATGAGCAGATGTGAAGATGAGCAAATGTGAAGATGAGCAGATGTGAAGATGAGCAGATGTGAGAGAAGATATGAAGAAAGATGAGCAGATGAGAGAAGATGTGAGAGAAGATATGAAGATGAGCAGATGTGAAGATGAGCAGATGTGAGAGAAGATGAGCAGATGTGAAGATGAGAAGGTGTGAAGATGAGAAGGTGAGATACAGACCCCCACTATTGGAAGAACCCTGCGCTCAGACGCTCTCGGGAATTTCAACTACACCACAACTACACTACAACTACAACTACACTACAAATACAACTACACTACAAATACAACTTCAACTAGCACTACACTACACTAGACTTCAACTACAACTACAGCTACACATACAACTACAATTACCCCTACACTACCACTACAACTACAACTACAATTACATTGCAATTCGCTACACCGCACTATATCCTGCAGTTGTGGGTGAAGTAACCCTGCAACCACTCCAAAAATCACAACCACCTTTCGGTCCATCAATGGATTCGCTCTGCCATCCATGCATCACAACAATTCACCTCGTATAGTTTCCCATCTTTGAAACTTCCGCCACCGCCTTGTGCGGTACTACTGGTATATTGGAAAAAAACACCATTCTGATGATGACAATGGCGCTGGTCATGATGATGACACTGTCGAAGAAGAAGATAAAGGCACCAATGATGATGCCAACTACCCCAGTGATGACTACAATCCGAATGTTGACAACAGCGGTGGCTGTGATGCTGATAGCAGTTTCATGCTGAGTGTTGAGTGGGAGATCCAACCGGATTGTTTCATACGGTCATTACCCACATTGCAACGGATGAATATCCAAGCACACTACCTGGTTGATGGGGCTACCGTGGTGCGGCAATGTGAAGCACATGATTGCAACAATGGAATTCCCATTACCCATTTCCCATGTCTACACGACATTTGCAAAGCTCTCAGGATGGATTCACGAGAACCTGCCTGACATCCCTGTTGGATTCACACGAGGAGAAATGGATCTATCCTGAAATTGGTTACGGCATACCCCTGAAATGGCCATGTTCAACTCTGATTGGGCGCAGGTGCCCCAGAAATCGGATGCTGACCTCCCAAAGTCTCCTGTGGTTATGTGGTTTACAGAGCCATAAAATACTAATCCATGTCACAAGAGCTATACATTCACGGCGGTCACGGCATTGTCTCAACTGGTTAGGATGGTCTTCAGATACCGATGTTCACAGCATCCCTAAAAATACCGGAAAAATCCACTGCCAGAGTGCGAATGATGATCCTCAAAAGTCAGTCTTGGCTGCCAGGAATTGCGGGATGTGCTGTTCCTTGGTTTTTGAACGGTTCCCCTCTCCCATTGTGGCTGTTAAAATGCGGATAGCTGTTTTAAGCGGGTTTTCAAACTACTTCCATCCCTAGGTTCGAAATCAAATCCATATGTTTGGTCCCTTTCAACTATCATTTTGGCCTTTTCTTTCGGCGCCTCGTTTGAAACCATGATTTGCGGTGCCTGATTTACATAAGCACCATGAGAAACGCATGCCATCGCTATCAAAGGTGGTTCTTTATGGCCGAAACTGTTGCCTGTTGGTCCCCTCTTGGAACACATGCAACTTGTGCTAGGGATATTTTTGGCCAGTAAAAATGGCGGTTTCACCAGAAATATCTGGATGTGTTCAACAGACACAGTTAGATGGGGATAGAGCGCAACAACATGTTTGGTGGTTATGAATGATCTTCAATCATCCTACCTGGGAGGATGTTCCCGATCGATCCGTTTTTCTTCGGAGAGTCTGCTCAGAAACAAACTTCATGTTCGCATGTAAGTAGTTTTTGCTGTAAACATGTGTCAATATGTTTCTGTATGTTCTGCTTTACCTGATCTCAGAGGTGCAAAACAAGGGATGGCAGGTTCCTGCCACTGATTCTCGCACTGAGGGTTCAAATGTGCGTGAAGCTGGAGCAGCTGCAACGAACCCTTGAGATGACGCCAGAGATCCTTTGTTGCGCAGGGTCATCACTGGGCGGAATTGGAAGAGTATGGCTGGCAGAAAATCCTTAAAACCACCTGGCTCACTGTCTTCGAAAAAATATTCCCAACATTTCTTACTGGGTCGCAATGCTGCTCTAACCAAAACATCCCCTGCAAAAAGTTGGGCATAGCGTCAGCCAGCGCGAAAAAATTGCGGGAATCCATGTTATTGAGCCATTAAAATTACCCTTACTGGTGGATGATGATGGTGGCTCATACTCTATTGGGGATGCAGCACCCCAAATCCGCACCTTTGAGCCATGTCAGGGCTGTGGCCAAATTTCGGATGAATTGTTCCAGCACATGGAGTTGCAAACTAGCGGCATGCGAATGTGTGTTCCCCAAAAGGCTTACCATGGATTAATCCCCTTAAAGAGGTGGCTTTCCGCGCCAAGGCCAAAAGGGATTTTGAACATCCAGCTGACGACTTCTATGTTTGAATCATCTCGAATTCAGCAGCATTGTTTGTTAGATCGGTTACATCCCAAATTTGATCCAACGGCTGATCAGAATTGATTCTTTGGTCTCCCATGTTTCTTCGCATCGTATCTCCGGAGGTGTCCTAAGTCATGGGGGCATTCGAAAAATCTTGGATGGTTTATTTCATGGAAAATTTCATCTGTTTATACATATTTATGCTACAAAATTGTTTTTTTAATACTATAAATGGATGATTTTTTGGGGATACCCCCATGACAAAACGGAAAGCTCCGCATGAATTTTTGTTGTGATGCTCGGCATCTTTTCAACGATGGCCAAGCTGAGGCGAGTGAGAACTTCATTGCACTCAAAGACGGCGGACCGGGATGATTGGGGCCCGTATCATGAGATGGGATATAGTTATGAGTATGGAGGTTTCCATAGATGGTGATACCCCAATAGCTGGATGGTTCATAGTGGAAAATCCGAAAATGAAATGGGTGATTGAGGGGTAGCCAATTTTAGGAAACCACCATATAGTCGTATATCTTGGTTGAAGTCTTCTACAAGGTGCTTTGAAAGTTCAGGATTTCACAAGTCTGCTCCAGCAATCGTGTCAGGTGGTTTGTGGTTATCACACGCATTTAGAATGCTGGGTCAAGCAGGCCAACAAGCTATTCTGTGTTTGGTGATTTCAGATCTGTAGACATATCATATTACGTATATAGTTGTTTATTTGTGTACGTATTCATGTTTATGTGTCTATGCATTTATTTTTCTTAATTCATTGATTATTTATTGCTTTTCTGTGTTATATATATATAATATCTTATGATTGTATGTATATGTATATATATATTGCATATGGCATATATCATGTATCATGTACCATGTATCTTGTATAATGTATCATGTATTTGAATATGTGTATATTGTATTATATACAATATAGTATGTTGTATATAACATCTATAATATAATTACACCAGCACAGACCCCAAACAGCAACAACACATGTTTCAGGAAAGAAAGAAGAGAGAAGAAGGGAGACAAGCACCGGAACCCCAGCCGGAACCAAGAGGAACCAGCAAATCATGATGAAACAGAACCCCTGTCCTGAGGAAAGAAAGAGGAGAGAAGAAGGGAGACAAGCACCGGAACCAAAGAAGAGAGAAGAAGGGAGACAAGCACCGGAACCCCAGCCGGAACCAAGAGGAACCAGCAAATCCTGATGGAACAGAACCCCTTTCCTGAGGAAAGAAAGAAGAGAGAAGAAGGGGAGACAAGACCGGAACCCCAGCCGGAACCAGGAGGAACCAGCAAACCATGATGGAACAGAACCCCTTTCCTGAGGAAAGAAAGAAGAGAGAAGAAGGGAGACAAGCACCGGAACCAAAGAAGAGAGAAGAAGGGAGACAAGCACCGGAACCCCAGCCGGAATCAAGAGGAACCAGCAAATCATGATGGAACAGAACCCCTGTCCTGAGGAAAGAAAGAAGAGAGAAGAAGGGAGACAAGCACCGGAACCAAAGAAGAGAGAAGAAGGGAGACAAGCACCGGAACCCCAGCCGGAATCAAGAGGAACCAGCAAATCATGATGGAACAGAACCCCTTTCCTGAGGAAAGAAAGAAGAGAGAAGAAGGGAGACAAGCACCGGAACCCCAGGCGGAACCAAGAGGAACCAGCAAATCATGATGGAGCAGAACCCCTTTCCTGAGGAAAGAAAGAAGAGAGAAGAAGGGAGACAAGCACCGGAACCCCAGCCGGAACCAGGAGGAGCCAGCAAATCATGAAGGAACAAAGGCAGTTTCTAGCAAGAATTAGGAATTGGGAACCCCATCCAGCTCAAGAGCTGTTTGGGGAATAAGTGTATACATGTATGTATTTTGTTCCGCAGCGATATGCAGCTCATGTCGAACTACACGTCAGCAGCATCTTTCCGTCAGCCGAATGGAGAAACAAGATGAAAAGAGAAAAATACAAAAGAACAGGGGAATCTGTAGCTGCAGGATCAGCTACTAACCAGCACCTATAACACAGGGCTCGATGGTTTTGTGTAGGTGGACCCCAAAACCAACGAAACGACGGAGAAACAATAATCACAAAGGAGATATATTTAAGGAATCTTGAGGAGATCGGCCCGTGACGCGCAGCAGGGTTCGTGACCACTTGTCTCTCGCTTTGGAGAGTAGAACTAGAAAAGGGAGAAAGTAACAACGATGGAGTGACCGTGGTCTCCCGGCACGCCTCTGGCGGCCCCTGCGAGCTTTAGCTGCAAGTGCAAGGTCATGGAGTTGATGTGGCTAGAAGGAAACTTTGCCTTGGCCCCTAAAATTGAAGTGGAGAGAGCTTCATAAAAATTTGCCACCGGTGATGTGGCACAGTGTGGTCGGAGCTGATGACAACAGCTTCCTGGTGGTAGTTACCTCCAGGCAAAAATTTCCTTATAACAAATTTCACTTTATAAACAGGGACTTTTCTCCCGCGAGAACAGGAAATGGAAATTGCCACGGCCCCTTCAGTACAGAATGACGAGGAGTGTACATTCCAGCAAAAGAAGAGAGTGAGAAGTAGGACTTGATGTGGAAGACTTCCCCCTTTCTCTTCATCCTGGATTGAAATGTGAAAAATCCAGAAAAATGTGTGCGGAGAAAAGGTCAATGAAGTAGAATAATGGCTGGAGTTGCAAGGAGGGGAATAATGCAACCAAAACGAGACACAATGAGACCAAGTAAGAGGTGGTTGAATTGGTACTAGTTCCAGCAAACTCGGAGAATGAGATGTAGAAGAGACTATGCAAGGCTTCCCACAGCCTTGAGGAAGGAGTTGAATACGACAAATCCAGAAAATAGTGATTCGAGAAAATGTCGATGTAGAAAAATGTAGCCAGAACAACAAGCAGGAGCTGGTATGTAGTGCAGAAGCGGTCGCCAAAAGGTTGTCCAAGTAGAAGATGGATGCTGCTTGAATTGCACGCGAGGCTGACATGGCAGAGAAAGAATCTTGATTGGATATTCCTGAAAATACAGGGGCTTGCGAACCGAGGCTAGCTAAAGCTTGTGCCCGTGCCTATGTGTATATATATATATATATGTGTGTGTGTGTGTGTATGTGCACAAAGCTAAGAGCTATTTCATCCCTGAGATGATGAAACCACATATCCCAATGTGTCTTGCTGGATACTCCCCACTATCTCCCCAGCGAAATCCCCGGCACAGATGGGTATAGCGACCTCGTCGCAATCAATGAGCAACGATCACATCCGAAAGCACAAGAGCACCTGGGCAACGTCAAGCGCAGTGGGACAACGAACTGAAACCATGACATTCAACCAGCGGCCACCCCAAGAAAAAACAGTTTCTTAAGGGTTTATCAACCACTAAAGCAATTTTTCACTATCTATCATTGGGAGGGTGACCTTTTGGGGGGTGAATCCCCATGAACCCTAGGGCATTCCAAATCCCAGAGACTGATGAGTTTCCCCAACCCTGTGATTCTGTGAAAATTTGTGTAAGTTACTGGAGGCATTGAATTTTCAATTGGGGTTACCATCTCATAGACTTCCGAAAGATGAATCTGTTGATCCTGGAAAGATCTATTTAAGAGATGTTCCATAAGCCATAAACCCAACCCCCTCGTCTTCTGGATATCCCCGTCCTTGAGGTTGCAACCCCATGTTTGATTGATTATCCGCATTTCACGTGTCCTGATGTTTTCCTTCATCTTCCTCACTTCTCCAAACTCCGTTTCAGGCAAGATCAGAAAACATGTTCCCCTGGAATGCCAAAAACTGTCAAAAAAAACCAGGGGGTTCTTCTAATCTGTCCCTTGAATCGCAGGTCAGAAATCTGAGGCTGCAGGTGCCATGCTGCCCTGGGGAAAGATCCAGAAGTGCCAGTTTTGTTGATTTGAAAACTGGAGTAAAAAGGTTTGATCCAAAGCTAAGTGGGAAACGACAAATATTGGTGACCTGGAAACTGGTTGAATTGGATAAATCGCAGAGCCGTAGAAAGTCACAGGTCACGGCTCTACAAGCCATCCCCGAAATCAATCTAAATCAACCAACGTGGTAACCCAATGCCACCATCCCAGTAACCAACCGTAATACGGGTACAGTCAATAGTATTTCTCGAAAGTAGGGATGGTTTATGATGTTTATGATGTTTAGTGTACAGCATGCTGGCAGATTAAGGAAAAAGATCTGAATGGAACACCAGTTCAGTTGGCTATGTGGGTCATGTTTGTGCAATATGCTTGCGCACTGTTTAGACAGCACCGGCCAGATCGGACAGCCGGAGAAAACCAGAACTCAATGCAGAATGGATTGTGTGGTGAATATTCGCAAGACCAAATCTATTGGCTGGACATAGCCAACTGGTGAAGAACGTATGGCATTTGTTCACCAATGTTCAGCCCATTCCTGGTAGTCCATGAACCACTTCACAGGTGAAGGAAGAAGTGCGGCAGTCAGTGTATCTAGCATGAATGTGGATATGCTCCTTGGATTTGAGTGGGTACAGTCTGCTGTTCTTTTTTTCTGCTGTTTCTCGTGATCTACGATAGAACCAGACATCCTTTTCATCATCGTCGTCGTCATATCGTCATATCGTCATCGTCATATCGTCGTCAGAGATGCGCTCCGGAAATCAAACCTGGCGAATGCAGTGGAAAATACCCTACAAATGCAGGCTTTTATAAATTGGAAAAACATCTATAAATGTGGAATTTTCCACTGCCACATTTGATTACGGGAGGGTATCCATTTCAAAGGATCTTGTGGGAAAGCCCTTGACGTCTGAGGATGCATTTGTCCCTTGCTCTGGGTATAGGAAGTCGACCACCGAATCTGCGAGTGATCCGTTTCACCAATGGATCATCATTTCTTATCCCTTCATTCCTTGAGTTGTTCTGCATCATCTCACCCATAGCTTGCTGCGTGCCCTAAAAAGGCAGAAGATTTGGGTTTTTTTTGGCCCAGGTTTGCGTTGAACCTCAAACACAATCAGAAATTGCTCTCGAAGAAGAAATCCTTCAGCGTCAGCAATCTGGTCCCTTGGTCGTCCGTGCGCTGGGCTTCACCGTCTGAGTACCTTGTTGATGGGGTACCCGAAATCATCACCTTGGCTTGTCGTTGTTGAAAAAATGCTCCCCCGAAATGCCACAAAACAGGTTGTTCCCCCATTTTCCCACAAAGTTCCTATTGTTATTTTTTGTGTTTTAACCATGCCCCAAACTTCTGTTCCATCAGCCTTATCGGTAGGAGCGAAAACTGATTAGAGATTATCTCTATTCACTGAACGAGGGGCAAGTAGTGCTAACCCTTAATTGAATATGGGCGGGCACCAATCTCAATAGCAATTGTTTTCACTGTGTGGAGCGTAACCCACCCAATTCATAGTCAGGGTTTATTCATCCGGGGTCGACATAATTTTGTATCTTCACTGGCAAGATATGTTTTCCTGTTGGTGTTGCAGGTATTTTGGGAAGCCGGTCTTCGAGAGAACATGTGAGCAATGCTCCGCCCAAGACTAGGGAGTTGGCAATATTGAATGCATAGTACATCATGCTTAAGGTCATGCTTGTGTCATGTCACTTCATTCTTTTGGGGCCGAGAATCACAAAAAAATCACGGCAGACAATTCCACCAAGAAGCTCCCATCGCAAGTTGCAGGCCTACGATAAACCGCGAAAAGGCGTCACTTGTCGCAAGAGGTTGGCGTTCAGCGCTGCATAAGCACTGAGATATCAACGGAGAATCTATAGCGAACATGGTCATTTTGTCGGCGATCCATTCAGATCGCAATTCCAAGGTAAAAACACAAGTTTAGCATCCTATTGATCAGCAAAGAAATTACCCACTTGGCTGTGATGAATTAACTTTTTTTTGAATGACCCGGATCACAAATCGAATGCGTGCGACCTCACATCGACCTCCGTCGGAATGATGGGAATTGGATTGGGAATTGGGGGAACTAATCCCTGAACAACCCAATGTTTTTAATCCAGCTTAATGTATATTAAAGCTAAATGAAATTTAAACAGCAACGTGCTCAAAATTCAATGGGATGTGAAAACCAGCACTGTATGCTTTTCTACCAGTAGTTAATGGGTATAGGAAACCACCAGCATCAAATGGGGATCTCTAGTCAACCAAGTAAAAAGGCCTCCAGGGTTTTACCGAATATATTGGACAACGATGAGGAGATATTGCAACTGGTTGGTGGATTCGGTTCGCGACAGCTGTTTGGTAGATGGAGATCAAAGAATATCCTGCAGCACCACTTCGTTAGCTGTGCTGAACATAACTCTAATAACTCACTTGGGGTTATAGTACATCACTGGTTCGTGGTTTGGAACATTTTTTTTTTTCCATATATATTGGGAATAGTAATCGCAACTGACTTCATATTTTTCAGAGGGGTAGATATACCACCAACCAGATCATATATAGCCATACTTAATGTGGGTTATAAACCTGCTGGGGAGGCACCACCTTGTAATCGTTTGGTTTGCAGTGATGGAAACATAATTCAAACCAACCCATAGAATGGTAATAAACCCGTTCATCTTGATAGGGTTCCTTATAGAATGGTTCCATAGAATTGCCATGTTGGGCAAGTATATACCCATTCTCAGATGCACGTCCATCGCCAGATATCATCATGATCATGCGTCCCAAGAGTTATTGTAGATGGATCTGAGTTGGGATTCAAAAAACTGTAGCTGGAAGCTCAAACAGCAAAAACAACTCGGCGCCATTCCATTGACCAAGGCCTTGAAGAGGCTGAACTCTCAGGCCGTCTCCTGTCTGAATTTCTCCAGGTCTATGCCGAAGCCAACCCCAAGTCACAAGTCATGGAGAGTTTCCAAAGTCATGGGGGTAGCCCAATTTATGGTTTATTTCAAACTCCAATTGAAATGGATGATAAATGATGACAACTGAGACCCTCATGACTGGATGAAAACCTCATGAAATCAGCCAATTCTATAGTTCCCAGGTCCCCATCAGCCTTCATTGTGAGTCTGAGGACGCCAGCACGCGAAGACTTTCGCAGGCAGGACCCAGGGTTTTCTGGGCAGGAGAAAGGGCAGGGGAAAAATCAGCCATGTCTGGTTGGTGGTTTGGAACTTTTTTACATAATATATGGGATGTCATCATTCCCATTGACGAACTCCATCATTTTTCAAGATGGTCATTGCACCACCAGATGTTTTTACCACATCTTTAGGATAATCACCATGGGAATGATTATCATCCACCAACCACCAACCAGATGTGATGAAATTCATGAGCTCCACATCTTTCGAAAATCCAAAGCGCCAGGCTTCTGTGAAGGTGGTCGCCCCAGAATCTGAGGAGAACTCCGTGGCCCTTCCGGGCTGTTTCAGACTCGAGGCAGACGGGGTACCGCGGAGTTCTTGCGGGGAAATCCTGGGAAATGTATGGGAAAATATGGGAAATGTATGAGAACATGTGGGAAATGTATGGGAAAATATGGGAAATGTATGAGAAAATGTGGGAAATGTATAGGAAAATATGAGAAATGTATGAGAAAATATGGGAAATGTATGAGAAAATATGGGAAATGTATGAGAAAAATTTGGGAAATGTATGAGAAAATATGGGAAATGTATGAGAAAATATGGGAAATTATGGGAAATGTATGGGAAAATGTGGGACATGTATGAGAAATATGGGAAATGTATGAGAAAATATGGGAAATGTATGGGAAAATGTGGGAAATGTATGGGAAAATGTGGGAAATGTATGGGAAAATATGGGAAATGTATGAGAAAATATGGGAAATGTATGAGAAAATATGGGAAATGTATGGGAAATTTTGTGAAATATATGAGAAAATATGGGAAATGTATGAGAAAATTTAGGAAATGTATGGGAAAATGTGGGAAATGTATGAGAAAATATGGGAAATGTATGAGAAAATATGGGAAATGTATGAAAAAAATGTGGGAAATGTATGGGAAAATGTGGGAAATGTATGGGAAAATATGGGAAATGTATGAGAAAATATAGGAAATATATGAGAAAATGTGGGAAATGTATGAGGAAAATGTGGGAAATGTAGGAGAAAATATGGGAAATGTATGAGAAACTATGGGAAATGTATGAGAAAATATTGGAAATGTATGAGAAAAATATGGGAAATGTATGGGAAAATATTGGAAATGTATGGGAAATTATGAGAAATGTATGGGAAAATGTGGGAAATGTATGAGAAAATATGGGACATGTATGAGAAATATGGGAAATGTATGAGAAAAATATGGGAAATGTATGGGAAAATGTGGGAAATGTATGGGAAAATGTGGGAAATGTATGAGAAAATATGGGAAATGTATGAGAAAATATGGGAAATGTATGGGAAATTTTGTGAAATATATGAGAAAATATGGGAAATGTATGAGAAAATTTAGGAAATGTATGGGAAAATGTGGGAAATGTATGAGAAAATATGGGAAATGTATGAGAAAATATGGGAAATGTATGAGAAAATATGGGAAATGTATGAGAAAATATGGGAAATGTGTGGGAGCATGGAGGTGTAAGTGGGACATGTTCCAAAGCTTGCCGGGGGGGTGTGTGAAAGTAGACTCCAGCGAGGGAAACTCAACAGCCCGCGTCTTGGCGATTGAAAGTCTGGGATCCATGCGGGGGTTTCCTAATGGGGGTATCCCAATTTATGGATGGTTTGTTTCATGGAAAATCCAATTGAAACGGATGACTTGGGTACCCCCATGGCGGAAATCTCCATTTCTGGACATGAAATTTGAACGCCACGCACTGGTTTGAGATTGCAGTTGGTATTTGGAGCTCAAACACGCCGTGCATCTGGAAGTTCGCAAAATGTCGGTAGATACAAGATCCCGAAATGATGTAGATATCCATCTCCAACTTGGATGAATATTCATTCCAGCATCCATCCTTGATGCAATGTCCCCTCTTGATTGCTCATTGTAAGTATACCAAGAGCTCACCAAACGTTCTAGTCCATGTTCGTCGGACAATATCCTCTCGTTGAATGATTCTAGTGGTGAATTTACCCCATGTTTTATTGCTCAATATCTCATCTATTTCCAGTTGAATCAAGTAAACATAAGTCTTTTTGAACCAACCAGTATGGTTTCATGCTGAATATGTTGATGAATTTATCCAGCATATGTATGTGCATATATATACATATGTACATATATACATATGTACATATACATTTTCTAACGAAGTAGTTCAATCTTTTCATGGCTAAGATTTTGGTCAAAATCCCCCATGTGTTTTCCGTTAGGCTGAGGAAGAAGGTGACTGTGAACTGTTGCCGCGCTCCGCCGATGAGGTCCCGACCCATGATCAAATGAGCAGAACCTCATTGGAATAGATATAGGGGATTTAATGGATTGAATGGTGACTTAATAGTGACTTAATAGTCAATGGGACTTCAATTAATTGTAATTGACAATTAATTAATCCCATTAAGTCACTATTAATTGTGACACCATTGAATATCCCTTAATAGTGTTTAATGGGTTGAATGGTGACTTAATGGTGACTTTTTTTGGGATTCAATGGTGATTTTTAACCAACAATGCTGATAATAATGGGATAATATTTCGAATAAATGCGATTTGTTGGGATTGTTTGGGATAGAATAGGACTTTAAGGGATATAATGGGATAAGTAGTTTAAGTAATCCAACAATGTGATTCTTGTGTCTGTTTCACTGGGGTATACTTGCCATTTTTGATGGGGAAAATTCTGTGAAACCATGGGATTTGGGGCATCCTTAGATCTTTGGGATGAGGGTTTTCCTGGAAATGCCTCAAAATCATGGATGCCAAAATGGGCAGATAAGCACTTTAGTGGGTCCATTCGTATGTACCCCTTCTGCAGCCACAAGGACGGTTTTACCTGTCAACTTGGAGATTGATTCTGCTGACGGAAATGAAGATGTTACTAGCAAAGATTGGCATGCACACAGCTGCGGAAGGGGAAACGTGTTAGGTCTCTGAAATCGGGAGGCCCAGCAAAAATGAGAGTCTCATCACCAACAATGTGCAGATTAACCATCCAAATGTATCATAGGAATGATCTGGAACGATCGGATAAAAGCAAAATGCAAAGTCGCCCAAATGTCATAGCTACATTGAATTGGAACTTCGAGATTTGTGTGTGTAAATTTCTACACAACATTATACAAGCTGTAAATTTGGATCCCCAAAATCTATGGGGTTACTAAGTCATGGTCATCCATGACTTGGATAATTTGGAGTACCCCCATGATTTTGGAAACCACCATATAGTGCCAAGAACCAGTGGCTATGGGTCTGTCGAATGTTGATCCGACAGGATTCGAACTCCGTGGACACGGTGCGAATTGCGGAGGCGCTTGAACGGCTGGGTGGAGATCTCCTGATACCATCAGGCTGTATGGTTTTCCTTTGCCGGGTTCAGGTTTCCCCCCCACAGTTCGGGGCCCATTATCCCAAAATGGCCTTCCGCAGCGACGGTGTTTTTTCCCGGTGTCTGGTCTCCTAACTTTCCCTGTGTAGAATTGCCATTTTCTATTGCTTAAATTTTGGGTACCTTCTGGTATTTAACATAGCTATTGAAAATTGCCATTTATAGTGGATTTACCCATTAAAAATTGTGGTTTTCCATAGCTTTTTGTATGTTTACCAGAGGGTAATTTAACATGGCTTCAGACAATCGTGTCTTTTTAAGATCGGTAAATCATTCAACCAAGAGGGCCATGGCTTCAACTAGCAAGCTCTTCAACTAGCAGAGGGGAAATCCATCTATGGATTTATAAATGGTTATATCTCTATATAAACTATATATTTAATTATATATATAATTTTATATAATTATACATATATATTTATATATATCCCAGATGATCTTTTTAAATCCCTATTGATGGTCCATGAAATGACCATTTTGAATTGTCCCAATCCCCGCGAAATCCTCCCAACGCCCGATCGGCCGGAGTCCCCAAATTCGCCGGCGGCGGAAAGCAATTTCCACCCCCACGTAGGGATGCCCAAGCGGCCACCACCGTGGTGTCGGACTCGGATGTGAGTTTTCAACATAGGTCAAGATCTCTGAAGTTTTATTCCATACCAAAAGTTGTTGGAGAAAAAGTTGAGATCTTATGAGTTCAGGCTTGCAGTGCCACTCGATTTTCGGCATTTCTCACCCAACATTGGATGCCAGTAGCTGTGTCGCGGAAGTTGGATCCTCCAATGACTAACTGGTAGGGAAATCACCGAACTGGGGTCCAGCAAACCATGTTTGGTTACAGTAAGCCATAGGTGGAGGTTTCTTGGAATGCCCCAAGTCATAAGTTTTAATACGAAGTCATAGTCATAACAACTGGATGTTCTGCCTGAGGATGCACGATCTTCTGTGGGCTCAATGGTGGGGGCCACAGCTGCTAGTGTGCTTCTTTGGTGTCGGGGAATCCGAGATACCAATGTATTGCACATCTCTGTTTTGTTTCTGGCTTGTGGTTGTTGTGGTTGTTGTGGTTTTCTTCTTCTTCTTCTTTTTCTTCTTCTTCTTCTTTTTCTTCTTCTTCTTCTTTTTCTTCTTCTTCTTCTTTTTTTCTTTTTCTTCTTGTTCTTGTCGAAAAGTTTTGTTTTGATTTTTTCTGGTAGCTTCAGGCGCGATCAGTCTATGCTTCAGTCGTTCCTTGGCGCAGCAGCTGTGGATCCCATATGAAACAGCCCCCAGAAACCACGGTTTCATAGGGGATTGTTAGATTTTTGGGACCATTAACCATGGGGCTGTTGAATAATGGGGAGATGGGATGAATGTGGCAAAGCCAATAATCCATCCCCAGTCATGGTATGGCGGTTGCTGATGCCCCCATTTCTTCAGGTCCACTGGAGGAAAGCTTTCCAGCTTTTGGCTGGTCAAACTGTGTCCTGCAGATGTTCCAAGCCATTTTTAAATCATCGGAGTTTATACATCATTTCTGCCGCGAGAAAGTGGATGTTTGGGAGACTCGCAGCAAGGATGATGGAGGTTTCAATGGGGGTACCCCGGTAGCTGGTTTATTTCATGGAGAATCCGTAAATGATGACTGGCGGCACCCCTACTTTAGACCTACGTATGGGCAAGCGCCTGATTTTTTTCGGACCCCCGAGAAAAAAAAACATGGTTTAACTCCCGTTCCAAAAAACAGTAGACTCTCCACTTTGATATCATATTCTCTCAATAGAACCTCTACTGTACAATATCCCAGATGCACCAAATAATATGATAGTAACCTCCACAAGGAGAGGGTTTAAACTGTTGATTAACAGACAAGTCACCCCCATGGTGAAACCAACCATACCGGTCCCCTGATTTTTTATCACAAGGGCATCTAAATAGCAATATTCATTTTTCAACATAGATGTATGTACATATATAGTATTTTGCATGTATATAATCATATGAATATACATATAATTCATATAATACATATACTAGTGTAATATATATATATATATGTATATATATATAGCTCCACTATAATTTTCAGCATAACAGCCATGAAGCCATGCTATTCATCCAGCCATGGCTCTGCCCAGGAGCAGGGGGATGAACTGTGCATGACCCCTGTGGTTCTCAACGACGTCTTCGCATCCGGCTCAGCTGCCAGGACCCAAAAATGGACCCGTCAAACGGCGCCCGTTTGAGCTGGGAGCTGTTTGAAGAAAATGGGAGAGCCATGGTGATTTAATGGTGCTTTCATGGTGATTTACTAGTATTTCATGGGATTTAATGGCAATTAATTCATTAATGGTGATTTCATGGTGATTTCACCAACAATAATGCTGATAATGATGGGATGATAATTGGAAAATGGTGAGGATATCATGGAATAGTAATGGTGATGATGATGGGATAAAGCCATATATTACCCCCCTGTATTGGGATAAATTATCATGACCTCATTGCGACTGGGGCAAATAGCCTTGAAAACATTGCCAGGTGGGTGAATTATGTTGTTTTTCCATCCAGATTTACCATTTGTTGGTTACATCCTCGCTGTACCACCATTATGAACCGCTATTACCCTCAGAATATTCCCAAAAAGCCAGGCGAATCCAGATATATGATCAAAAATGTTGATCAAAACGTATCACATATCCCAGAAAACTCATAAAATATCCAATAAATCGAACATAAAATATCAATGAATCCGTTATAAATATCTAAGTATCTTCAGATCAATCTAGTCCCAAATACAATTTGTGAGGCCCCCGGAGATGTTTGTTGCTTTATAAACTAACTGAAGTTATATCCCACTAATCAACCATAGAATTCATGACATTACCAACATCTCGCTAACACAAAACAGCTACATACCAAAATCCAATGAAATCCATGTGGTTTCTTGAATCACCATAAAAATCCCCACTTCAAGTAGGATAAAATCTACCTGTATTGATTCATCATGGTTTGTCATGGTAAATCACCATGTAAATCACTTTGAAATACCATGATATATCACCATGTTTCCCCATGGGTTTTCCATTAAATCTCCATACATCACCATTTTTCCGATGGTTTTCATCATCGGTTTCTCCTAAGCTTGTCCTATGATTTTCCCATGGTTTCAGGCAGGACATCAATCGGAGGCGGCCGAGCGCAAGTTTATCGGTGCCGCATGGGGCTATCAGGCTGGGCGTTGGGACCGTTGGGACGGTTGTATGGTGATTTTAGGTGATTTTCCATGGTGACTGGGATCGAATTTTCCATGAGAATGATTGGTTCCATTGAGATTTACTGTCACTTAATGGGATTGGTTTTTCCATTCCTCCGCTCTGAGTTGCCTCGTGCGGCCGCCTGCAATGTCATCTGTTCATGGGAAAAACCCAAATGAACGGTGTCTATTTTTGATGGGAAAAACGTGATGAAAACTCGTGGGATTGGACTTCATGGGATTCCATGGAATAATCACGACCTGGAAAAACATGGTGCTGATGGGAGTCAGGGTTAGGATAGAACCCCTGAAAAATCAATTGGGTTTCTCTGATTTTTTGCAGGGAAAATCCCTAAAAATGCCCAAAAATGATAATTTAAAACGGCATTTTCCACATGTTCAAGTGGACATTTGAGGATATCCCTCATTTTCAGAACCCAACTGCTGAGGTTAGCCCACTCTCCACCAGAAAATCCTATGTTACTGGGGAAAATGAAGAAGCAACCGGATGGAATGCGGTTGTATTATGCTTAAATTTAGGTGGTGCTATGAAAGTTTCTGCATGGAATATGATACGTTCATTTCCTATCGTTGAGTGGGTTGGCAAGTAAGCTGATGACCATAGTACATTCACTGTGGTTGAAATAGATCGCTACGTTTTTCTCACATGAGGGGGTTCATGTGACGGAAATGACCACAAATCCAAAGATACATTACTTAGATCTTGTGTCACACCATGTCACACCATGAAATCGAATGTCACATGACAACGGCTGCCACGTCTTTGGGATAGATGCGGCCAAAAACCGATGGGTATGTCGCGCACAGGTCGGGCCACGCAACGACGATGCCCGGTGGTCTTTCCTTGAATGAGGACGGGATGCATCTCACCATGAAATCGGAGGCATGTTTTTTATCATGAGGTCATATCCTGGTGCGGGTTGTTCCGTCAACGCCCATGCATACTTCCTGCGAAGCGCTTGTGACACATTTTTAGACCCCGAGAAAATCTGCCCAGTTTGCCCCAGTTTCCCAGGATGTGTCCAATCAAGCATCAGGGAGAAGCGCGCCAAAGAGCCCGTGACTGGACTGGTGAAACGTTCACAATGCGGAAAACCCACCGTGAGTATGATTTTCCTAGGGAAACCATTGGTTGCCCACATCTATGTTAGTTTGCCTTAGGGAGAGATGAACTCTGATGTTTGTGCTTTATCAAAGTTATGAGGCATCGTACATGTCTGGGATTTGCTGAGTCAGTTGTTATTTTTCTCATGGTTTTAATCCACTAGAAAAAATGGAGAATCTACTGGCAATATCTTTGAATCAGCACATCCAAGCCAAAACCTATAATATTGTAGCCTTTCACCCATAGAAATGATGATATAAATCAAGAATATACGCTCATCAAGAGGCTGACCATCTAGAAATCTGGGAACATACCAGTTTTAGATGATCCAAAAAAATACACCACTTCTTGTGGAGATTTCGAAACCAATTTTGCTGATGTTTGTGTCTTGTTTGCTGATGGTGGTGATGAAGATTAAACAAGATCACTACAGGATGATACCCCAGAATCTGAAGGAAAGCACGCTTAAGGTCTCCAATAAATATTGAATCACTTGCAAAGCAAAGCCAAAATCGGCAAAATCGAAAAGTAAAAACGACCAAGTCGTAGTGCATTACTTTTCTATCCTCTTGGGGCTTACATCATATCCAATCCCCAGGGGTGCCAGTTGGCTTATGACCAATACCGGGATAACGAACATATGGGTTGCTTTGTCTGAAAATAGGCTACCCTGATTTCTCAACCACTTTATCATCATTGTTACGCTGTTGCGGCATACCCCATGTTCACACACTTGCTCAGAACTGATTATCGAATTGTGAAGGTGGAATGCATCTTACGTGCAAAAACAGCTCAGTAAACCTGTCCGGACACGAGAAAAGATTGCTGGCCGGAGAGAAAATACCATCGTTGGTAAACCGTACAGGGCAGATGAAATCAACCAAAATACGCATGCGCTGATTGCAACAACTCGGCTTGTAATTCTGAAAAATCGGCCGGGAGGTTCTTGGGTTGAGCCTCTTCCCATGTCGGAAAAATTGGAAAATTGCAGGTAGAATTGCCCGACGACATAGATGGGTTTCCGCTGGCTCGTGCCGAAAAGAAGCTCTGCAGTAGAGGTTTTACTTCTGGTCAGAAGTTCCAGACACACAAACACCCAATTTGGATAGCGTTGACTATATATTCAATAGTGTATCCCATTGATATGCCCCCTACACCCCAATTTGTGGCAAAAGATTTAAGTTGTCTGCTATTTCAAAAGAATTTCATATCAGGCTGCATCAGTCAATTAGATAAATCGTCCGTGAAATATTCCCTTATATCCCATTATATTCCCACTATATCACCGTGAAGTACGGTGATCCCCATATTTCAACATAAACCAAAAAAAACATCCGCAGTTATAGATGCCCCCTTCTAAGTACTGTTGGTTGGTTATATCAAGTTCTATCTATCTCCACTATATCATGTACTTATCCCATATTTCATCAGCATACGTTGGTGACATGTCATGTCTCCCTTCAAGGCAACCCTCCAACAGCGACGCTCGAAGAACCTTGACCTCCTTGGCTGCTTGGCAGAGATCGGTTGATTTACTGATCGGCAGATTGGATAAGATAAGATTTTCATGTGGTAAAGCCAATGCCATAATCAATCCCCCAAATCATCACTGGCTGCGATTTCTAGCCATCCCAAATGGTCGGTTTTGGGCATTGGGTTTCCCAAATTATCCCACAAAGATCAGATCAGATTCGATTAGGTAGATCCAATGTGTTCAGTCTCCGGTACCCCGGTTTTTTCGACAGCTTCACCCTCGGCGAATTCATTTGGAGGTGTCCTAAAATGCTGGCACCCCCCAATCATCCAAAATTAGACCATTTTAGTATTGAAACCTATGATTTTCAGGATCCCGAAGTGTAGGAAACCTCCATTTGTTTGTTCAAGATATTGCAAATTAATGGGAATAGAATGTAGCAACCCCCAAAACGATGCCAGTTGGGAACCTGGAAAAGATGTGGGAAACATCACTGTCCATCCTGGAAGCACTCTATTTTTGGGGGGATTATTGGAACATATTAGAACCATATATAATAATGTATAAATCATCCATAATCATCTTTAACCATCTATAATTATCTACAAATAGATATCATTAGATATCTACAAATTGTAAATCTATAGTTGGATTTAGCCTCACTGGAAAACCCAGGATTCCCTTCGTGCCCAGCACAATGTGAAGGTGCTCGCGCAGCAATCTGAGATTTGGCAAGGTGAATCCATAAAGATGGGAACAGAGTCTTTTTTGGCTTGTTTTTTTGTAGTTTTGTATGGTGTCCCATGGAATTCAAATTTGTATGTATATAGGATTTTGTATGGTTTATAATATATATATATATATTTATAAACTCATGGATGCAAATGGATTTGTCTGGTTTTTGAATGGGTCTTGCCGGCGATTGACCAAAAACATCGCAAAAATACGATTTTTGGGGGGGACCTCCTGATATCACATATTGTTTGTTGCCCGGGAAAATGCATGCGCACCGTTGCTGAACATTGGTTTAGTTCTGGCTAGTGTTCAGGGTAAGTTCAATGACTGGCCATGAATATGATCTAAACTTGGGAGCACAAGAGTCTAAAGACTCAATATATTTTGCGACATAGATATCAAAACAAAAGAGTTCGTGCAGCAAGGCATGCTACCCTTCCACAAGCCTAAGGAGAGGTTGAATCAGCAGCAGCCTATCAGTGAAGATGGTGACATGGAGGAAGCTTACGAGGCACCGACATGTGACAAGCGTTTCAAGTGTTGTGAGACTCTCCACCCCAGCCATCGAAAAGGGAGCGTTTCCCAAGCTTATCTTTCCCTGAGCAGAAATTGCTAAGAATGTGGTTGACTATAGCCCCATGTTCTGATATTCAAGTAAAAAAGGTGCATGTCTAACCCTTTGCTGTTCGATATTTTCATGTATTGGTATACATACATTTAAAAAAATATGAATAGTTTGTAGCTGAAGAAAAGAAACATTGGAGTTAGTACCATCGTTATACCGTTATACAGTATACAAGTTATACCCATTAAATCCCAATGACCCCAGTCCTGCAGCCCAAAAATAGGTATTCATATCTATTTAAAAAAAACACAAATAACCATTAATCATTAACTTAATCATCATCAATAAGTTTATCATCAATAAGATTATAAACCATATCAATGATATTAATCATAATAACCATCTCAATCAGATTTCATCATCAATAAGCACTCTGAAAAAGCCTTCACAACTTTCCGGTCGATCGATCTCCCAGGAGACGCTGGAGGGCCGATCCATGATTTGTGTCCTAGCGATGGGTTTTTGGTTTGGCCCTGGCACCGGAAGTTGGGTTTGGATCCAGAAAGTTTCGGGTGATGTTATGGTGTTTGTTTAATGATATGGAGTGATGTTAGTTGTGGTGAGAACTGGCGATTCATTGGTGTTTGATGTCGAGTGGTATTAGTTGTGGTGATCAAACTTCTAATTTCATGGGATGAAGCTAAGTGGGAAGCATCTCCATTGTGGGAATTGAATAGTGGGAGTATTTTGAATCACACTATTATATAGTTGGGAGACTATTGATGTGTATATATATATTGATATATTGATATATTGGATATACTGTACTATATATCTAAATCAACTCACTAAAATGGTTGGTCACTACCAAATATGAAGCAAGCATTGGGATGGTGACCATTATGTTTTGGGAAATTGATTGTAAACCAGTTCCATTGATATCCATGGTTCCAGAAAAACATTCCAACATTTTTCAGTGATGGTGATTGGTGATGTTTGTGATTCCCCATGAAAATTTTCTATGTGATCTTATGGTCTTATCAGGTCTTACCATCTGGTTATTTAACATAGCCATGGAAAATCACCATTTTTAGTAGGTAAATCATCTATAAATGGGCCATGTTCCATGGCTATGTTAAATAACCAGAGGGTAATATGAGGTGATCATATTTCATCAGATTCCCAAAACAACGGTGATACCTAGCTGCTGAGGTGCCGTGAGCTTCGTTCTGAGCCTCACTGGGGTGTTGGATGCGCGGCCAGGTGGGGGGCGGTCTCAGGTTTGATGAGATTTGTGGTAAACAAACATAGCTATTGAAAATGGCCATAGAAATAGTGGATTTACCCATTAAAAATGGTAATTTTCCATTGTTATGTGGCTGTTTACCAGAGGGTATATATATATATAGGGACTTACTAGGGACTTTCTCCCCTAAGTTGATATTTTCCACTATACAACATTTTTCACACATCATACATCATAAAATCACACATCATTATATGCATGTGTATATATATATATACATTTAAAGACAAAGAGAGAGAGAGAGAGAAAAAAAAAAGAGAGAGAGAAATAGATACGGATAGAAAGACAGATAGGTGGAAAGAAGGATAGATAGATAAGAAGGATAGATAGATAAGAAAGATAGAAAGATAGAAAGGAGAAGAAAAATTGATAGAAAAGGGATGTTTCCGCCACCGTTTTCATTTGTCACCCACTTTGGCATCACACAATTCCTTCATCCACAGGACGCTTCTGGAAGTGCTTGGCACATCTCAGTTTGGTGCCGTGGTCATGCAAAGTGACCAACCCCATGGCCCATGGTATGAGGGATATCCACCATGGACCATGGACGTGTTTTTCCCATTCATTTTTACGGGGCTAAAACATTAAAAAAGTTTCACTTGTTATCAGATTAGAGCCTTCAACATGTTTCCAGGTTGCTCTAAGCAGTTGTAGGTAAACGATTGCCACTTTTGGCTGGAAAGTTGGTCACAAAAAAAATTCTTGTTTCACCCAAAGTATCCCCCAGTAAAATAACATAGATATGGAGAATCCATCATGAATGGTCTGACAATGAATCTATCATTTCAAAGCCTAGGATTTCCATCGTTTTTTGGTAGCACTGAAGGCTACCCCCCAAAAGGTGGAAATGTTCTGAGGCGACCACCTTGAGCCTGGCTGTTCTGCTGCTGGTGCTGGGTGATGATGAGTTCAGGCGGGGCTCCCGGGGCCCCCGATGTCGCCATGGCGGTGAGAAGTCCAGATTCTTCAGCGATTGTTTTTTATCAAATCTGGTGAGTAATCCAGAAATGATTGTTAGTTTGTTACCTGGGGAAGCTTCAAAAAGAACAAGATTTTCTGGCGATAAGGTAATGATGTTCCCTGGTATCTCGACTGGGTTTCACCGTTCAGCGATGACCACGCTCTCCCTTTTGACCTTGTCTTTTCGATTTCAAGATGGTTATGGAACAACACATAAATAGCATGTTTTGGGGGGGTGAACAATGATGAACATCCATAAATCCCAGCATGAGAAGGGCTAATGCCAACCCTGGATCCATAAACCCCAAACGGCTGTGACTAATTGGGGGGGGTACCATACTTGGTGGCTCATCCCGCTTAGTAAGTGGGTTTTAACCCCAGTTATAAGTGGATTAACCCTACTTATCCCATTTATAACTGGGGTTATAACCCACTTACGAGCCCTGGGATGAGCCACCAAGTAAAAAAATATCAGATTGGGGAATAACCCCATAATTTTCGAAGAAACATCGTTGACATTAATCCGGGGTTGACATGAAAACCATTATTCCTCATTATTAATAGTTATTAAGCATCACCACTATCATTAATCAATTATTAACCATGACAGTGATTAACCATCACTAACCACTATCATTAACCAATGAAATTAACCATGACCAATATTTTTTAAGCAGTAACTTGACCCATCGGTGCAACGCTCCCAACCACATCTCCGCAAGATATGTGAACCTCATGACCAATGCCTACGCAGTGGGCGTGGTAATCAGCGTGCTGCTGCTTCGTTGGGGCAGAGCAGAAGAGGATGAAGGGAGGGGAAGTAACCAAGATCATTTTACTTACCCCCCAGTAAACGTTTACATAGCTATGGACAATGGCCCATTTATAGATAATTTACTTATTGAAATATAAAATGCTGGTTTTCCATAGCTATGTTAGGCTCAATAGGGTAACTAACCTTTCAAATTCAGTAAACACACTGGCCGGTGAAATGATTTAGTCAGACGATCATCTAATTTAAGGTAAATGATAAGACTAATTAACAGCGGTGACCATTTCACAAAGATGACAAGGATGATGACAGTTCACAACGCAGTGGAGTGGATACAAACAGTTCGAGGATGGATCATTGCTTAAACAACCATGAGTGTATTTGTTGGTATGCCAATGATCTGGTGAAATAGGCCCAAAATATCCTATGATTCTGACAGAGTCAAGAAAGAATGCGTGATCCATGAAGTGCTTTTCGCTTGCAAATCTGTTGCAAGGCTCCACAGGCATCTCAAATGTTTGATGGGTTTGCTCTTCACTCAGAATCAAGTATCAGAACAGCTCGTACCCCGAACTCCATCAGATCCCTCAGCCATATGGAAAAAATCGCCATGTCTGCTTAGCTGTGAACTGACAGCTGGAACACAAAAACAAGTGTCCTGGAAAGACAACTTGTCTACTAGAAATACTTGTTGTTTTTCCTGTTCCAAGAATCTGTCGCAAGGACTCTTTTTGCTACAGAACCCAATAAAAATTGATCAGAGAAATTCTCCGACAATGTCAATGATCCATCTGTTCAAAATGGGAATTCTTATTGTCAGCGGTCGCCAGCAGCCAGACAAAAACGACCATGCAGGCACCACAAATTTCCGTGAGGGTGAAACCGTGAAACCAAGTCCCCATCACCCTATGGCGCCAGGACTCCTTAGCAGTGTTGCTTGGCCCTAAGGAGCTGCAGTGATTGCAAAGTGTGCGGGCCTCGCCACGAAAAAACATTTTAGGAAAATGTGGATAGAAAACTCAGAAAAAATGGTGATTTAATGGGATTTTAATCGCTGATTCTTGATAGCTAAGTTGGGGGCCACATAACTCCAACGTCACTCTGGTTTGTGGTACGCAAAGAACGAACATTCTTTACTGGTTTTTTTTTTCTTAACCAAGGTTCACTCATCACGGGCCCCACATCGTGTAGATTGCCTGCCGCCAGGAGTTCCAACTAGATGAATATGCCTGCAAACGAGGCCTGTGCTCCTGGAGCCTGACTCAAAACGCAATTTGTGATAACCTCCGTCACAACTGGGCTAACCCTACTTAGCCCACTTTTATCTATATATATATATGTGGATATATATATATAAGGAAATATATATATATAGAGATTTTTTTATATATGGATATATATATATATATATATGGATATGTGTCATGTAAGTGTTGACACATGTGTAGTGATCTAATGTGATCTACATGAATACATTTACAGATGCTATACATTTCTATACTATGAACATATGCCTGGCTCAAAAGCCACGAGTTTTTTTGTTGTCGCCAGGATTTATCGAATCGAGCCGGCTCTTGGGGACGCTGAGAGCCATGTGTTTCCTGGGACACTTGGCACGTTTCACGGGAAAAAACAAGGGAGAGATTGGGCATGTCTCATGTTATCAGGATGATAGAATGATTGGGGATGATGATCATATCATTGTTTATGGAGATATAATGATGATCATATGATCTGTTATGTCATGATATAATGATTGTGGATGCCAAAAAAATGTGTTTCATGGATGTTATGGAGATATAATGATTGATGATCGTGGCGATATAGATGATATAGATCATACAGCTTGAATTGTATCGAAAAAGTGATGTCTTGGATGTCTTAAAAAGGGAGAAGTCGACCCCAATTTATGGCAAGCTCAATAGGAATAATGATGATTCACCTGTGGCATGGGCTACCCTATCTACAGACAAACCCTGATCAAAATTTGAACCTCGCAGGGTGTTTGTCATTTTTCGGGGTCACCATGTTCAATGGGTGTTCTTATGTGTTTGCATGGTGTTTGAAGTTTCCATTTGTTGTTGCATTCCCCTGCATCTAGATTAATTTAGATGGATGCAAATGTCGGTCCCCAGATGCAGAAATTCAGAACCTGCAAACTGAACAAGAATGTGAAGAGCAAAATTGCCTTGAAATCTCAATGTCAAGCCTCTTCTGCTGGAGTTTCCAAGTGCAACGATGATATGATTATGGATATTATGGTACATTTCTAGCTGTAAGATATGCCAAATTTCCACTACTCGTTAGTTCCTATTGGTTTCCTATTGGTTCCTATTGGTTCCTATTGTTCTCGTTGAATTTTCGGTGCCATTTTTTTTTGCCTGTTTTGTGTGACATCGGTCACCAGGACTTTGGGCTCTGATGGTGGCCTCAAGGCAGGTCAGCAATCCGACCAGGAATTGTCACCAGCTGTGGGTCAAAAATGTGTTTTTTTCCAGGAAATTGGATTATGAAATAATCCCCGGAGATATTTTGATAGTATAATCCTCTATCATCATCAACCAGAGTTTTGAACACTGCTCAGTTTTTTCCAGCAAATTGTAGAGTAACATCCTATGACCGAAATTGACATCCATCGTTTTCTACACCGGAATGGGATCTTCACCATTCCTCAGGTGAAATGACACACAGCCTATTTTCAGGTGCATCACTGTCAGTGAGTGGATACAATCCATACAATCCACCATCTGTTCAGGGCTTGGTAAATGTCCAGTTTTTTTGGAGACGTTGCATATCAATTTCCAGTCTTTCTTGAAGATTCGAAATCATCATTATATTCCCAAGAGTTGGATGATGTGAAGAAAAATTCGGACATTTAGCATCCCCTGTTATGTATATGTATATGTATATATGTATGTATAGATATATATATATATATACATACACATATACATACATGTGTATATATATATATATACGTGTGTGTGTACATCCCAGTGAGATCAAAGGAGTCAAAACTATGGCAACAGTGACCTACGCTGCTGAGGATATTGTCAGGTTACTTCGGGCAACCAGCGACAGGGCTTCTACCGGGCGATACCACCCAGGCATAGGGCGGTGAAATATGGTGAAATATGGTGGGATCAACCGTCAAAGATAGGTATCAACCATCTAGAAGTACCATCTGGTTATTTAACATAGCCATGGAAAATCCCTTATAAATGGAGGTTTAATGGGAAAATCCTCTGTAAATGGGCCATTTTCCATGGCGAACTGTTAGTCATAACCAGATGGTAAATGATTCACCATCTGAAATCATCCATGGCCATATCACAAAGTGATGCGCAAATCTCTCGGACATTTGGGTGCGAGGTTTTGAGACCGCGCCCTCAGCATTTCATAGCTTGAAACCTCCGACCTTAGCTATTTCATGTGTATCATGGGGGGTACAAGTCAGTCCACTTGCGAACAGGCTTTGTTTTCTTAGAGAAACACGCAGCAAAGATATCAAATCGCAGTTTCAGTGCTAGGTCAGCTGGGATGTCCGCACAGCCTTGTCGTGCAAAGGACCTGGTGTCGCTTGGAAGCTACGCCATGGCCATGCTGGTGACGATTGCCATCATCTACGCGCAACTGCATGTACTTTGGATCCGGTCGAGGGTGGCACCTTTCAGAAATTGAAAAATCCCTGGAGAGATCGGTTCGGATCTTTTTTCCACTAAGCATGGTCAAGAATGGGTATTTACAGTGATTTTGTGATGCGAATCATGATGAAAATTCACTCCAGCCGCAAAGTGCACTGGGTCCAAGTCGGGGGTCTTTGTGGGACAAGCCCACTAGGCCCGTTCCAAGTTTTTCCGAAGTGTTGACCCTCACTGGGGCCCCCACCATTTTTGGAATCACCGCAGTGGATCGAACCACAGGTGGCATCGGGTTTAGAGCTGGCAGTGGACATGTTCAGCGCCCACTTCTTCGACACCAAAGATATCTGCGCCGCCATGGATGAGTGGAACATCCTGCAGGAAGAGCACTGGGATGGTTTGGTGCCTTCAAATGGCGGAAATGCTGAGTAAATGCTCAGTTTTTGTGGCGTGTTGTGTCGATGGGCAACATTGTAAGGGGGATTTTTTCGTCATGAACCAATTACGAACTTTTGAAATCATTGAAAATGAAGGACCATGGCACAACACAACCAGCATGGCCACCAAAGAAGGGATATTGGATATAGTGGATGTTATCGTTACAGAAGGTTTGTGTTCCGACAATGCCAAGAAATCTTTCGAATAGATTTTGGGGGCTCAATTTTGAGACAAGCCCATGTATTTCCGGTTGGTTGTGCCAAAATATGACCATTCAATGGGAAAACATATGAAAACCTCGGGATAGTGAAGCAACTGACCCTACCCTGCAGGCCTTGATCAGATGCGCCTCATGCACCATGGCTGAGGGGTGTTGGTTGATAGGGGACTAAACATGATTTAACCATGAAATGTAGGCCTTGAAAAAGGCTGGTTAACATTCATATGTGGATACTATCGATAAATGGATGGGTATTATAGTGGGTACTCTCCAACTAATATTGGAAATCATATATATATATTTATATATATGGATAGTAACCGATATAATGATCAATATTGAAAAACATATATATATATATATGTATATATATGTATATATATATATATGTATATATATATTGTATATTATATATATATATAGATATCAATATTGGATGGTTGATCATTATAGTGGGTACTATCCAAACTTTGTTGGGGGATTCTCAGGATTCCGTTGGGAAATCCGGCCACTGATTTCTGGCGTGTTTAAGGCGTTCCCACTTGAGGTGGTGCAGCTTAGAGCCCCATTTTTCAATATGTTTCTCATATGTTTCCCATACGTTTCTCATATGTTTAACCAGTCCCTTCCCAATATTTTGCAGTTGCCTCAACCAACATCCTTTCCCCATGGAGCGCCTCAGGTCGTATCGAGACCTCCTTCATGGTACTGGGCGCCAGTTCTTTAGCAACGCTGGTGCTTTTGGCCACCGAGGACCGATGTCATAGAATTGTTTTATATGATATTCACCTTGGCTGTGCGACTGTTCTGACTTTCTTTGCTGGAAATAGAAAATTGATTTGGAGACAGGCAAGCTTACTGGGTACATGTATGTATGCGTATATATATATATATATTATGTGTATACGTCTTGTCAACAAAAATGTGAGGTGACCCCTGCAAATAAAGGAGGACAGCCAACAAAATCACGTTGAACCGATGAACCATGCGGGGTTTTTTGCAGACCGTGCCAAAGTTGTGTGGATTCCCGAATACAGAAACTGGATGGAACTGGTGACAAGGGGATCCAACCAGATATTTCAGGGACTTTTGAGCTGGAAGTTTCCAGAAAGTGACCATGTTTCTACAGATTTTGGCGCCCCTGCCAGTTATGGACGAAGCCAGAGCTGCTTCAAAATCCCCTGCAAGCTGTGTCGCCTGGCTCTCCGACCCGCTGGGGAACTCCAAGCCTCGAAAAATTTGTGGCTGGTGGGTAAAACAATGCCATTAATAGTGGTTCGTTCATAGTGATTAATAGTGATTAATAGTGGTTAATAGTGACTCATAGTGATTATAATAGTGGTTATAATAGTGGTTATAATAGTGGTTAATAGTGATTACCTGATGAATGTGGGTAAAAGAAGTTTATAAATTTATAAACCATCCCCCAGTCACCATTTTTATAGGTGGTATATATAAACCATTCCCAGTCATGGGTGGTTTATGATTGTTGTACCTACTGAATATGATTGTTTTACCCACATGATCACTAAATATAAAGATGAAGATGAAGCAAAAGGCTCGATGCTCGTAGATTTTAGAGGTTGAGACGGAATGCAAAGCGATCAATCTTGGCAGAATATGTTTGAGGTCCCAGGAATCCCTTGGTGTAACCCCTGCACAAGATGGATAAATTAAGCGCAGATCCTACATGGTATGGGACAAATGACACTGGGACAGGGCTATGGGGGAAATCATCATCGATATTCACTGCTATGGATGGATTTAATGTAGTAAACCCAATGCCATAAACCTACCATTTGTGGATGCTTGGAGCACCACAGCTAAAAATGGTGATATTGGGGATGGTTTTTCTGATGATGTTCACCACATTACATGGATTCACAACGAATCCTATCTGTCCATACTATTTACCTTCAGTTGAACATCTGAGGTTTTGGCTTGGTTGGGTCTACCCACCCGTGTTGCTTCTTCTGCCGGGATTCTCAGAGACAGCTTGGAGGCTGATAATGATACTTGGTGGCTCATCCCACGGCTCGTAAGTGGGTTATAACCCCAGTTATAAATGGGATAAGTAGGGTTAATCCACTTATAACTGGGATGAACTAACCCACTTACTAAGTGGGATGAGCCACCAAGTAGGATAGATATGGGTGGTTCCAGAGTCATGGAGCTACCCCAAGCGAGCATTGGATGGTGACTATTTCATGGAAAATCCCAATCAAACAGTATTTTAAAACTAGGGATACCCCTATGACTCAGGAAACCTCCATATCATAAAATAACATTCCCAAGCAACTGGATAGATAGTGACTAATCACTTCTTTGCTATAAATGGAAGATGATCACCTTTTGGGATGATCCCCATGAAATCCACTGAAAGGTACTCCCTGACGCGCGCCGCGGCGGTGTCCGAGAAGTGTTCCAGGGTGGCACCATTTATCAACTCCTGGGTGTCTGGGCGATCAAGAAATGGCACGATTTCATGGTGATGTCATGGTTATTTTCTGTGGTGATATGCTGATTTCAGTGTGATTTCATGGTGGTTTTATGGTGATGTCATTCATGGTGGTTTTGTGGTGATTCAATTGTGATTGTATGGTGATTTTATGATGGCTTTATTGTGATTTCATTGTGATTTTTTGGTGGTGTTATGAATGTGATGATTTTATAATAAGTTTCTGGTGATTTTATGGAGATGTTATGGTGATTTCATGGTGGCTTTTTGGTGATTTCAATCCCATCCATTTTAATGGGATGGTTTATGGCATTCGGTTTACCTTAGGAAGCATTAATTGAAGTCGGCAGTGATTAACAAATATGCTACTAGCCTTCACTGTAGAATCTCTAAATCCGAGCCTGTGAGCTTGCTGGTAAATTGCAACTTTCAATAGGGATACTATATCATTTGCAAATGCGGGTTTCCAGTAAGATTGTTGAGATGTTCCAACTTTCCGTGTCAAACACACTTGAACCACCAGAAGCTGATACTCAGCTGTCAGGATTTTCCTTCAGAGGAGGAGGAGTACTACCAACAATGGTTGCACGAGGGCCGGCAGTACATTGTCCAGTACATCATGCAAAGCGAGGCGCACATCGGACGGCTATGGATGGATAGTGGGGACGATCTACCACGGCTCATTTTTTGCTGGTTTTTTTGGGGGGGAAATCGTTGATCTTTACAAGAAATTAACAACCTCAGGTTGGTGAATTACTATCATCCAGACTGATGCAACTTGGAGGCATCTCTTGAGATACCTTTACCAGGACCGGCAATGCTCTGGGCATCCCCTCCGTTGACCAGCTTCATTCACCGGCAGCTTGACTGCCTAAGATTGGACGCTTTGCTTCCCAACAGGCTGGATTCTATGTGAAGGGTGTGCGACTGAGCAACTTCACTGTCATGAAGCTGCCGGAAACTCAGCACATCTCAGCACCGCTGGAGGCTGGTGGCCTGTTCAACCCCTGATATGAGGTGTAGTAACCAACAGATTTGGGACTGTTAGGGGGCACATATCTGGAGACACGAACCATGCGCCATGGGGATGTAGCCGGGAAATATTGGATTGTTGTTGATGGCTTATGTTTAAGCCCCCGGGTTTGGTGACACACACACACCCAGTATGTTTTGGTTGAAACTCAATGTTCGTTGATTAGAATCCATGGAAATTTGTGCAGCAAAGCCCTTCCATAAATGATTAGCATGATGCTACTTGGTGGCGAACTACCCACGGCTCGTAAGTGGGTTAGTTCACCCCAGTTTTTTGAGTGGATTAACCCGCTCCTTATCCCATGTACATCACTGGGGTTATTCACCCGATCGACCCGCCGGACGAAAGCCCCAGGTGTTATGGTTTTGGCGCGTTGAGTTTCGCGCTGCTGTCGCACACCATGACGACGGTGTTGGCCGATGCAGCCACTGGAATCAAGTGGAAAAAAACCTTTGGATGGGGAATAGGTGATTATCATAGGTGCTTATACTATCATGGTAATATCATATACTTCCTCAGATATTGGAACCTCTATACCAATTATTACTATTATTATATTATTATTGTTGTTATTATTGTATGATGAGTATTCTATCTTGGGCGTTATCATCCAAGTATTGGAACCCCAAGAAAAACGGTTGGGTAGGCTGGGTTGTTTCTCAATGGTCGATGTTGAGGCTTGCTGAGGTTGGAGATTCCACCAGGAATTCCACCAGCTTCGAGCCGAACTACTACGTGGTTCTGAAACCACCAAAAAGAAGGGAAATCATACAAACAATAGAAACAATAGATGGGAGATCATCAAAGAAAAAGTGTAGCGAAGCATTGCAACAAGAAAAACACGAAAAAAAAAATGCAACTAAAAGTTTGTGGATACAAGCAGCAAACATGAGTTGCTGCCAAAAGACAAGAATCTGACAAGAAGAAGTGGCTACAAGCTTCGGCTGCATGGGGCTGAATATGTTCGCTAGAAATGATAGCAGAATGCCAGGCTTAAAATGTGCTGTGCATCCAGAATGTTTTTCCGACAAATATATAGAGACACAACATCTAGATAGCAAGAGGCAGTATAAATTAAGCGCTGCGAATCTAATCCCAACTAGTACTTTGGATAAGCGAGCAGCTGGGGTAATGTATCCAACAACAGAAGCAGTGAGGATAAATATGTGCAACCTCGCTAGTCAAAAGCCACAAGGAAAGCAAGAAGATTTCCCACATACTTTGCAGAGTCCGCAGCATGGCAATGGTAAAAGGTTTGTCCAGATCCTAACCCATTTTCCGACAGCTTGGTGATTTTGTATACTTGGCAAATGTTTGGGGTACCCAAGTGTATGACCTAGACACATGGAGTGGATTCCCCCAAGATGTTCTGGAGTTGAAGGGTTGTGGTTCTTCAACATCCATCATGGACTAGGAGGTTCATATTGCTGTTTCAACATGTCCAGTTGCTGATGTTGGGATGCTCGCCTCAAAACATGCTCAAGTTCAGAAGATTTGCTATCAAAGGTGTGTTTCCAAGATACCTACCTTCAGGCTATCAATCACCTGGAGTGTTATACTTCAGACAGATGGTAGAATTCCCTGCAAAATCATAAGCGCCTTATCAACTATCCAATTGCTAGCTGTACCCAATCATCAAAAAGATGGGATCGTGATCTCAAAGGACGTTCATCACCGAAAGTAGATGCTTTCACATCGAAACAATTGTCCAGTTTTTTATAGATGTGTTGCTCCCCGATTTTTGGAGTACCCATAACATTGATGTCGTTTTTTTTTCCCATGACCCTCGAGATTATATCTCATTAAACCCCATCAAAATCCAGAAAAAACTTAATGTCAGGTGAAGACTCGAAGCTGAAAGGCAGCTGAACTGGTAGCTCGTTGCTTTTGTTGCACCAGTTTTTAGACATCCGTTGGGCTGATGTCACATTTGGCTGATGTTTGCTAGAACTTGGGATGTGTTTATTTTGTTGCAAGATGGTGATAAGGAGTTGGAAGGTGATGCTTCACTAGCAAAATTGCCATTGGTTGGATTCCTTTTCAACATTCAGTGACATAACCCAGTGATTCAAGTAAGTGAACCAATGATTACAGGGATGATCATGAAATTTAGTAACTGGATACTAACCTGGTAGTGATTCATTGTATATCCCGGTGAAAAAGGGGAGTACAACCCAGACACCGCCAGGGTCATATCAGCTCTCCATGTGTTCCTCTTCAGTTGGATCAGCCCTAAGAAGCCTCCATTTCTGTTGGATCTACTGTTGGATAATATGGGGAGGTTCATAGTCATGGTGGTACCCCAAGCAAGCATTGGATGGTGACTATTTCATGGAAAATCCCAAGATGGATCATGATTTGGGGATACTGCAGATACCCCTATGACTTAGGAAAGCTCCAAATATGTGAAGCTACAGGAAGGTTGTGAATCATGTGGATTTGCCAAGCAACTTGCAATCGGGAGGGCTAGGGCCGATAGCGACCAGCGGCAGTGCCAAGATGGATTCTTAGCTGGCAGAATTCACCTTCCAGTCCCTTCCAGTCCCTTCCAGTCCCTTCCAGTCCCTTCCCTCACATCAAAAAATTTCCACACCATCGAAACATTTTCTTATGTAGTGGATCTATTCATGTATAGGGGACCCTGCTATGGGATGTACAAATAATTAGGTAGATGGGGTGAATTGGCCCCCAGTGTTCCCTGGTTTCCCTCCAAAAACGAAACTTTGCGATCTTTCCCCCTTTTACTACACGTTGAAAAAACAAGAGCGACCAACGAACCGAAGGTAGTGACGTAAAACACTTTTTGTGAAGCAAGTTATTTCAACAGTCTTGTGCATTCTTCCCCTGTTGCCGTACCAGTGTAGACCGTGGAGTGTTGAGTGGGGAATGTAGTGTGTAGGGTATGAAGTGGGGATTGTGGAGTGCGAAGTGTCGAGTGTAAAGTGGAGTGGAGAGTGTAAAGTGCAGTGTAAAGTGTAGACTGTGCCGTGAAAAGTGTAGAGTGTCAAGGTGTCAAGTGTAAAGCGTGAAGTTTTTCAAGTGTAAAGCGTAGAGTTGCGAACACAAAAGCCCCGGAAGCAGCGTCTTTCGCAAACAGCGACGGAGCCAGCGCACGAGCCCAGAACCGCGGAGACTTGAGACCTTGGTGGCCTTGTTGTTAAATAAATCCGTTCCCATTGCAAAAATCTTCGTTGATATCCATTATAATAGTATGGATACAATGGATTCTTCAAATGATCGGATAATTATCCGATATTATCCATATACGGATGTAGTGGATTATAGTGGATTATTCAGTCTTGTATGATATTCCATCGTCGGTTTAGCTGTTTCACCCTGACATAGTGATTTGATACAAGGTAGTTATGATAGCTTCCATCTACTATTTTCATTATATTTGATACCTTTAGGAAATCCATTGATAATCATACCAAATGATCATGACATCAATCCCATTACCCTCTACCAAAGTAGAGGACTCGTTTTCCGAACGGGAAACCATAGGATTTCCACATTTTTTCTATTTTGATCCTGGGGCAATTTCCTTCCAGGGATTTTTTGGTCTCCTACAGGCTCCCCACGCTGTACCTGGGCCGTCCCCCGCTTTGCTTCGTCAGTTAATTAAAACCAGCTCGGTCGTGACGTCCGTGAATTGTGGCGTCAGCAGATGTCAAGTCGGATAGGATTTGTTGGTGAAATATGGTTGTCAAATATGAAGCGTTTTTTCAAATTTGATGAATATGATGCAACATATCATGTGATTTTCGTCATTTCAGGAAAACACATGTCCCACTTGGTGTAAAAAAAATGAGGTGTCTTGGTGTTGGCGGTTGACCCGGTTGACCTCCCGGGCACTGGTGTGGTAGCCAGAATCGCCTTGACATCACGTCCAGTGGGAATCTCAACTCAGGAAATCTTGGATGGTACCTGTTACACATGAAAAACTATGGGTTTTTTTGGCATATTGAAGCTTGACCATGGACAGCGCCACATCACTAACGCCCCGAGTGATCGGCCTGAGGGTCGTGGTGGATTTTCAGTGAGATGAATCCCGGTCGATTGTTTCAACTGTTCCCAGCATCGTATTTTGGGGCAACCGTTGCAGCCTGCGCCCCATGAATGGTAAAATCCCCAATTGGACGATGTTTTTACATGGCGTGGCTGAAACCACCAGATTTCTTCGGTAACCTGGAGCTGAAGATTCGCTGGGGAATAGGGAACAGTATGAATATGTCGAATATGTTACATTTGCGTTGCCACCTTAAGCAAATCGACAAAATATGCGTGATGTAATGTGCCCACGGTGTGACTGCCAAATCATTGCCGTTCACGGATTCTTGGCTACATACGTGCAAACATGTGCAAACATTGGTTGTTGCATTGTTTGAACCACTATCATTGCCAGGGATTCTTAGTCGCCCCGGCTTCCATATATATAATTATATATATATGTATGATATCACTATAAAAATGTTCGTTTGAAGGGATGCATAGCGCTTGACAACCGGAGGTTTTGTTATTTCAATTAAGGTGAAATAGGAGCAATGTGGGAAATCCACCAACAAGAGGATCTCCCCCGTCTTTTTTCCTCACGGCAAAGTCGTGAGTGTTGCATGTGGCATCCAGGGGAACAACTGGAGAAGCTGATTGGTGTGGAGAATTCCTATGGGATGGTATGTTTTCCTGGTTTTAATTTGCTTGGATTCTATTTGGGTTTCTGTGAAAATAGGATACCCCCTACATCCGATGGTGATTCCTGTATTGTCCTATTAAAATAGCTATTTGGGGGGTAATACCCAACTTTCAGACACAGCCGGAGATGATCCCATCGGCAAATCATCATGAACTGCGATCATGGACCAACTGTGGAAACACATATCTTCAACATTTAGATTTCTGAAGCTGTGAAACAAAACACTGGTTATGATTGGTTGAGTAGCTACACTTTAAGGATTTCTTGAATCCATAGTCAAGTTGGGGACTCATTGCCCACTGGGGTCATGGTTTTTCGGCTAAGGCCAACCCTCTTTCCGAAGCTGGTTGCAGCATCCTCCCGGCAGGACATTTCGGAATGGGGGGATTGGGTGAGATTCCCAGATGGCGGGAGATGCTGATGTCTGACCATCTTTTTTTTGATCAAACGATGCTTCATATGATGATCCCGAAGTGAGTTGGTTCATGGGTTGGGTCGACACCATGAGAGATGTGATCAATGCGAGGATGTAGCAATAATTGTAGCTTTATTCTAGAGAAAATTCACGAAGACAAAAATGGTGGATCTGGGCCACAATCTTGACCTGTTTTGTAGCCCATAAATCTATGGTTTGCAACTACTGTGCCTTTGGCTCCAAAAAAAACACGGGTCGCATTCGGTCATTCTCCCTGGACAGGACTGTGTGGAAGGCATCGGCTCGTTAGGTCTCTTTCGTGTCGGGAAAGCTCAGTTTCAGCCATTCTTTGAGCTGAGAAAATCACTGTGAAACATCCCCCTCTAAAAGCCCTTTTCAAAATTTCACGAATCAAAGAAAAGCTTCTGAAGAATTTGAGAATGATGTTCCTCTATCAAGGACAGTTTTCGCCTGCTGTGGATGGGAGATGAACTTACTATGGATCTCTTGTCCCGGTGCCCAGTGCCTGAAAAAGGAACGCTGTTCAGGCCAAAAAGTGACCCACCAGGGACGCAGTTTTATACCTCAAACTTGGTGGAAGCAACTACACTTTGTCAATTTGTGATGGTTTATCATGTTTTATCATGTTTTATCATGTTTTATCTTGAATTCTTGTGATTGAAAAACAAGAAAGATCCAGAATGGTTGGCCACGGGGCCATGGTTTAGAGGCTTCAACACCGGATGTGTTCAGACCAGTTGTCTGTAGGAGCTCTGAGGTGATGAACATCGCCAAAGATGTAGGTGTTCACAGCCACCAGGGTTTTGACCACCCAAATCGTCAAGGATAAATTTTCGATAGCCACTTAGCCAGCTGCAAAAGTTCGTATTCCAAGTCATCCCAAAATCAGAAAATTGATTATATCTGATTTGGTAAATAAAGACTAACTTGCCCCATGGTGTAGAGGTCCAAATATTCACTCAATGGGAACATCACCCAGCTATTTCGATGGTTTCTCACACTCAGGCCTGCAGAGCGGCCACAAGTGGTGCGGGTGACATCGCAGGGAGGCGCTTCAGACACTGCCACCTGAAAAAATCCTTGGAAAATCGTGTGAAATTTGATGGAAATCGTTCTGCAAGTGATCCCGAAAGATGTCAAAATTTTGTACCATCTCAAAATGATTGGGATTTCACAAAGCCCATGAAAAATATGTACACTGCCTATATGTTCAACATATTATCCAACAAAAAAAAGGTGTGTTCCATAAATGGGGGGCACGCCAAGCGAGCATTGGATGGTGACTATTTCATGGAAAAACCCTCAATGGGGGGAGATCTCCCACAGCCAGGGCTCAGCGTGGCAGTAGTGCAAGGCTTGCTGCAGCTGGTGAAGGCCTAGCCATGACGCTTCAGGGCATTTTGGGGGTAGAAACCCATAGAAAAATTGCGGAAATAGCATGGTTTTATACCAAAAAATGTGTGAAATTGTTGGAATCATCGTTTTTATGAGGAAAGATGGGATGGAATGAGAAAATAGATTGTTGCTGGAGCCATCTTGGATTTCACTGGTTTTTTTCAAAGAGACCGGCTATTATAGGAGTGGAGCAGAACCGTTTCACCAGCATCGCCATCGACAAACAGCCAGGCTACATTAGCACAGAAGAGCCACTTGTCCTTCACTGCTGGAGTTCTTTGCGAACATTGCCACGCTGGGAGCTCAGCCAAGATGATCCTTCGACGGGTTGAACTATGATAACTTCAGGTTCCAAGTTCCTATTTGTTTGTGCACTGTGGCTACAATGTAGCAGATGTGGTTTAAGATGAGTGGTGACCTCAAGCTGTGCCGCTGAACCACCTGATTTGGGGGACCCAAAGCTGGATGACCGGGCCATCACGAAGGGGTCATTCACCTATTCATAAGCTATGATATTCTCATCATATTCTCATAAGGACTCTCATACGGATTCCAAATATAGGATCAATAACCATCCACAGAGAGAGAGCTTTGTCTCAAGATGGGGTTTTGTCCTACATGGAACCAGTTGGGGTATCCCTCCCGGAATCAAACATAGCAATGGAAAATCCCCAATTTATAGATGACTTTCCCAATAAAATCCCCATTTATAGATGATTTTCCCATTAAAGTTTCCAGTACTGGCTGTAGCTAACCATGTTTGTTCCCGAAGTGTATACCATGACAGCTTGCACCCAGGCGCAGGGCCGATCGCTGGCAGAGCGACATCATGTTCTCGATCTGCAAGAGTTGCTGCAGGACGTTGAAACAGCGTAGCCACAAAATGCCCAGGAGTGCAAACTGAATTGGTGATTTCACTGTCTATATGGAATAAACAAGCAGAATCAGAATGTAACTGATACATGACGTTTGGTTGATGGTGTTGCGTTGCTACTATTGATGAATTATACCACCTGGCTTGATAGGGATTGTGAACCGAGCTAGAATAGAAAGTAGTAACCAACCATGACCAAGCAGTTTGATTCGATGGGGTAAGGGTAGTTTTCATGGCTCAGCTAGATAGCCTTTGATACTCAAGCCTGGCTCATCATGGAGTGATTCACAGCAGGGAGTCAGCACTGACCCACTCCTATTGTTTGTCACGTCCTGCGCAAACAACTATCTGATTATATGATATGTCATTGTTCTTCAGATGTGTGTGATACACTGATATCCCTAGGTTTTATTGGTAAAGGCTAATTATAACTGTTCGTTAGTAAGAAGTGTCTGTAGTAGCGTATCTCCGTTTTGCAGGTGGTCATAGGTCCAGATCCCCCACTTTATTGGCATGTTTGACGGATGAATGTTGTTTTTTCTTCGGAAACTCCTATGTGTCCTTTTTTTACAAAAAGGAAAACTAATTTCCCTGCTTGGTGGTTTGGAACATGTTTTATTTTCCACAATGGGATAATCCTTCCCATTGACTAATATTTTTCAGAGGGGTTGAAACCACCAACCAGTTCCTATAATGCGTCCATTTCATCATGATGGTTTCCTACAAACTGTTCCCCGAGATATCCAAAAAACTCATCCGTAAATCATGACGGAACAGAGGAACCTTCCGAAGACACATCCCAATCATATTCAGTTGCCTAGTTATATCAAATTATATCCCATGAATATCCCATGGATACCATCCCCATTGGCAAAAGATTCCAGTTTTCCACTTCAGGAAAGTGTCATTTCCATTAAAAAAAAGCTCATCTGGGTCTTTTTTTATAGGCAGGAGAATCCATGTTGCTCAGAAATCATGGATTTGCCCCGGAAAAAAGTCATGATTCCCATGAAAAATGGCCAGAAATCGTGTGGATCAACCGGATCAACGAAAACCAACGACTCCAGGAGGCTCCGGTGCCCTGTCGCTTCTCCGCCCGTGCTGTGATGCCACCAGAAACCTCCTGGGTAGCAGCCTGGAGGCGACGTTGTGATGCCACCGAGTTCTTTGTTGTGATGCTGTTATATTCTAGTTGTTAGTTACTGTTAGTTGTTAGCTGATCTGAGTTGTTATTTTTGTTTGCTATAAAAGTTTCACGAGTAATTAGTAATTATCATGATTATTCGTATTTGTGTTGCTGTGAGTATGTTCAACACGGATAACAAGGAGTTGTTTATGATATAATTGATAGTATTATATAGTATTGATATCATTGAGAAGTCATGGTTGATTGATTCTTATTGGGGCTTATGCGGCATCTAGTTGAATGGTGAATTGTGTTCTTGCCATGAATGGTGCATACTACCCACTGATTCTTTTGTTGCAGTGTATTTAAGTTTAGCCATCTCAGGAAATCATTGTGTTCTAGACCTTCTGTACATTTTGCTGGAAGTATATTATGTGAATTATGTGCAGTTCTTGTGGACTTGGCGTGATCCAACATGTTAACTTTGGAGATGGCCTGCATCCCATTGGGGAACCTGTACCTCAGCTCTGAGTTGAGATTCTAAAGCTGCCGCAGCTAGGGGCCAAGAGGCCAAAAGAAATACGTTAAGAATAGACCTTTGGCAGTTGGGTCGAGTCGTGAACGACATGGATGGACATGGTATCAGTAGCTGCACTTGCTGACGCTGTTTCAAGTCGATTGGCCAAACTCAGCATCCAAGGATTCATGTTGCGGGTTGGGTTTTAATTGATATTTCGCAATGACCCAATGTTCAAGAGTGTTGTTCATTGCAGTCTCCATGTTTGTTGTGTGTATATGGGTGTGGTATGGATCAAAGCGAGTGTTTCCCAGAGTCATATAGCCTGACCCATAACGATCTCACTGCGACGTCACCAAAAAATCATACAAATCGTCGTTACTAAGGGTAACTATCCCCAAATTGCGGTATTTCAAACTTAGTGAAATATTATTTCATGTACACTATAGTAAGTTATCCAGATACTATCAAGTACACTGCAAATGTTATTGCTACAAGTGTTAAATTTGTGTTGGCTATCCAGATATCCTCTCCACGGTAATATCAGTAAAGCAATAAGCAGCCATATTCTGATGGATTATACTACCCATTTATGGTTAAATTGGGGATGGTGGATCCTATTGCTTTACTACACTTCCTGGATGCATATCCCATCTTGAAACGCCACAGGTCCACCAAAGCAACATGTCCGAGGCGTGAAAGCGGCTGCTATTGCAGCTTGAAAACCAATTGGGGCTTTGACCAACTGATAATTGGGAACACTGAAATCGAATTATCATTAAAGATAAATGAATATGAATAGTTGGTATGTGGTTTCAAGGTCCGTTATTTTGAAGCATCAAAATGGGATCATCCTAGTTGAATTGCAGTGGGGATGAACATCCGTGAACATCAGTGTACTGGGTACCAGGATGAAGAGATCCATACCTAACAGGAATGACATGAGTCTATTCTGATGTTGGAGCAGGCTGGATTGGCTTGTAAGAAGTTCAACCATCACTCCCAGAATTGGTTTCAGGGAAAAAAATAAGAGGAAACCTCAAATTTTGATAGTCAAAACCATAGTTTCCTGTAAATGTTCCCTTAAACCAACGCATTAACACATCAAGAATCACAGAGACTCTTCCCCTGGGTTCGGGTGGTTAGACATCCTGCCAGGTTGAATCTTCATGAAGTCGGAGAGCCCGGCTCAACCTCAGATTCCTGGGATGTTCCCAAAATGACGAGATTTTTGGGGGGTCAAACCATGTCAAACCCACCAACCTTTGGATCTTGGGACATAGCCATCAGCTCCACTGTCCAGGACCGTGGCAGTCCTGCGCACACAGCTTCGACGGAGACCTGGGGGGATCCCGAGTGCCGAGATCTTTCTTGGGATATTGGACGCTGGTCGACCAAAAACAGGGATTTTTCTTGGGAGAGTTAAGCAACACCTATCGACAAACATGGGATGTCAGGTAACGGTACCCAAGGTAACCGTCGACATGGGGAATCTAAGTGGAGGCATCCAGGCACAAATCAGGTCACCCTTTCACCCGATAAATCACGAAAGGTCATGAATGAAAATGTCTGCCGGAAGTGGATTGATATAGACTGATATAGACTATAGATATCTACAGATGATGTAAATTAAAGTGATCTGGGATGATGTATCCATCATGTAAGATGCTTATGGGATCTTATGGGTATCCCTAGCTGTGAATCCCGCCAGGAAGTTTCTGTCTCCTCCCGTGGTGGCTCCATAGTTTGGGCCTGAAAAATTGGCGGCAGATTGTGAACAGTAACTCCTGTAACTCCTGTAACTCCTGTAACTCCTGTAACTCCTGTAACTCCTGTAACTCCGTAACGATCAATTTAAACATCTACTTTAGCAACTTGACCTCAGTTTCTCAGGTGAACTTGCTGTATGCCTCTCCCATTTGGCGCAACGAGGTTGGTCTGCTCAGAGAGCTCAGAGGTCTGTCGAAGGTCTGTCGAAATGCCGATCTGCCGATCTGCCAAGGCGGGTGAACTCCCACAGCTGGATGTGCAAAACGAGGCAAGGAGCCCCCAAGAGAAACTGCCGTGGTGTCGGAATGTCGGAATTCTGCAAAGTTTCTGCCTTGCAGGTCTCGCTGGTTGAGCTGGGTGAGGCACAGTGAATGTGGGCAGACATGGCGGAATTCAGAGTTGTCAGGAGCTCCCATTTCCTGAGTTTGCAGGGTTGAAACATCACTTTCTTGATTCAACAGTTGTTAAGCCACCCAAATTGCGATAGTTACAGCGGAAACCGTTGCCGTTTTTGTGCACGGCAGGCTATGCACTTGAGCCTCGCCACAGCTTCCAACTTGGCAGCCATGCTCACAGCCGAGGTGTCCAGACATGACCCGTAGGAATGTCTAAAAACATTGGTTTTTTAAGATTTGTTTTTCACATGTTTTCACAGAGGAATTCAAGTTGAGGCTTGGTTTGGTGCTATTTTTTCGGGCAATAAGAAGGTGTGTCGTCGTGTAAGCGATTCAACTGCAACGATGCAGCAGCAATATCCTTGCCTTAACCTCCACAGTTGATGCAAAGATCTCTGAGCCAAAACAAATGGAAAAAATATCATACCAATATGTAGATTCTGTAGATATATATATATTTATATATAGATAGATAGATTAGATAGATTAGATAGATAGATAGATAGATGGATGGATGGATGGATAGATAGATAGATAGATATCTTTGAATCGACTGAACTTGGAAACTTTTCCGAGCATCCACTTGCGTGTCTAGGCCACCACTCGCAGCATCCTCCACCTGCGCCTTGGGCATTGGTCCATTGGTCGAGTCATCCCAACAAAAAGAGGGCTTCATCAAATGGTCCATATATATATATATATATATACAATGTTGGTTTATAAGTTGGTTTATAATCCCCAGTAACTTTAGTTATAAGTACCATAGACCATAGTTATTGGAGTTATTAACCAACTTAGCTAGATATATATATATATACCCATTTATATACCTGTTTCTCAGGGTTTTGAGGGATCACCGTAGCCAGCACAGCATGTCACCATGGCACATTCAGCAGCTTTGTGGCAAAAGCATGGCAGTGAGGTCGCTACATTGTGCAGACAACGGACAGGTTTTGTTACTGGAGGTTGGGCAAATATCTGATTGATCTACTGTGTTTGTTCAGCTTTGCATTGTCTTGGGGTCTCTTTTTTGGGCGACCTCTCAAGTTCTTTCTGCGGACGTGAAGAATCCTTGAACTCTACTGGATGACGCACCAGGAGTCATGTAGAGTATACGAGAAAATAGTTCCGATTGACCAATAGAAGGTGTAAACACAGCGCTGCATTGGATATCCAGTAGGTATCCAATGATAATGCTTCGAACAATTATGGTAAGACAAGCAATAATCGTCATCATAGCAACCTTGCGGATTTCATGGATGGATTATTAGGATTGCTATGGTTATACTATTGGCAACAATATATTGTAGCAATATATGCATCCAAACAGTTGAACAGTTGGTGACTTCACTTCCCAAATCTCCACACGTTGTGTGTATCAGGATGCCACGGGCGGCGCGCACGCCTTTTCGTTGGAGGATGGGGAAGCGGATGGGTTTCCCATGGTTTGATGATGGCACCATGGAAATTGGAGAAAACCGTGACGAACAGAGTTCCCCTCATTGGCAGATCCCAGTATTTGATGGAAAATATCGGGATCCAACTCGTGACGGGTCGTATACAACCAGCAGATTTTTGAGTCCAAGAATGGCATACCCCAGCCTGTGCTTATTTCACGGGAACAACACAGGAATTCGGCCTTTGATGAGTTTACATTACCTGGCTGACCAGCAGAACAAAAACCGGGGATGTGAATCCACCAACATTTTGAGAGTTCACCGACCAAGATGGAAAATTATATATATATGTCTATATGTCATAGACATCCATACATATGTGCATGTAAAGTAAATGCACTAAGACTAGATGGGACCACAACCAGATGAAGGATTGTGGAAAACAACTCACGAGCGTCGTCTGACGAAGTGTCATGGGGGGCCCATAGAAGCAATGGAAGAAGCGATGCCCCTAGTGAATGTTTGTAGGAGTGCCGCATCACCTAATCTTTTGAAATGTAGCTTTCAGAAATTGCAAAGCAACACCACAACATCTCCACGTCATCAGATTCCCCAACTGGTACATTTCTATGGCATCCTTTGGCCGCTTCAGAGCTTCTATAGGGATCCATCGTAGGTTCATCGAGGTTCGCCACTGGCATCATTTGGCCCAGGATTTGCAAGCGCTGCTGAAAGCGACCAACGGTGCAAGTCGACTTCAGCTGGTTTTCCTCAATGCCTGCTGTCAGGGACTCGATTTTCTGCCGAGATGAGCTTGTTGAGATGACCAAGTATGTCCAATTGATTCTTTCAACGTCATGTTTTCCACAGTTTTCCAGGTGTTTTCCATTTCCGTAGTTTTCCCCATTTTTCTCTAGTTTTCAGTAGTTTTTGCCCACAGTTTTCCCAAGTTTTTGGGCAAACAAAAAACAACACGTCAGGTAGCGACTTAGCTGGGCAGATCTTTTTGGAAGCTGGAGCTCCTCATGTGGTAGCCTGGTGCGAAGATGCTGGGGAGTCTTAAGATGCTGGTTTTTAGAAAACAAAAATGGTGATTTAATGATGGTTCAATGATGATTTACTGGGATTTCATGAGATTTACTGTAATGGGATTTCATGATAATTTATAGGCGATTTATAAACAGAATTTGAGCATCAAAAGTCATGAGAAATGGCATTTCATGGGGATTTTAACAATCCAAAATCATGATACAATTGACAATGGGGATATATCCGGATACATGGTGTTGCGACCGGATGAGATCGCAACATTACTGGAATGGGATTTGGATTGGGTATTTAATAGCCCAACTTTTCAGGTTGTTGAATTACTATGGTGTTCCCCTGCTCAAAGATTGCAAGAAACTTCGGGTCCTGAGGTCTGTTGCCGTGGATCAGTCTTCGATGCCACAGCACAGGCCTTTACAAAGGCCTTCTATCGCGTTGCGGACGCCCAGTTTGGAGTGCCCGAATTCTTCATCCCCTGGAGTCATGAAAAAAGGGCCCTAGCTCCATGGATTTGGTTCGGTAAAGCCTTCACAGAGGTACAACTGTCCAACCATCTCCAAGTATCCCATCTTCTGGAGTGATTGTTATGAGTTGCTTTCTGTCTCTTGGTAAAGCGATTTCTATGTCGTTGGACATGTCCAGGTTGGAGTGCCTGAGCTGAACCAAGAATCGTAGAAATCGTAGAATTGCAATGCTCCCCTGTGACCTAATCTTAGTGCCCAGATCGTGGATTGTCCTGACCCAAGGCCTTCGCTGCGGGCAGGTGCCGTGGGGAAAGAAAAGCAACAAGCCTTGGAAGCGTTCAGAATTTGCAGAAGATGTTTCCAGAAAACGCTCCCAAAACACCAAAAGAAACATCTCCTACGACTCGTGTTGTGTAAACATCAAACTCGGTGTCCAAAAACGACTGTCGTGTCCATGTTATCCATGGAGGCTGTGACAGGGATCCCAAAAATGATTGCTATGGATTTACTTGTTATCTTCACCTGCCCCAAAAAAGTAACAAGTAATTATAGTTATATATAATTATATATAGATATAGATATAGAGAACAATTATTTTCATGTATTTTTAATGATTTAGTTGTTTGTATTCCCCATGTCATGATTATGTCATTCTATTTCGGGAACCTCGGGAACCTGGAACCTGGGCAGCTGACAGGAGCATTGCTTCCGCCTTCGACATCGCGAAGCTGGAGATTCGCACGGCGCCGCAGCCTGGGCTGCGAGCCGAGGCGAGATCCATCCGGATCCAGGGGGATCGATCTGGGTGAAATATCAACCCAAAATGATGGCTTGTTATGTGTGGATATGAAACAATATGCTTTTCATTTATGTCAAAAATGATGATATGGGATGATGTTTTATGAAAAAATGTACTTGTTTATGACCATGTGAATATCCGTTTTTCAATTTTTCCATTGATAAGTCTGTGTTTTGGCTGGGTTTTTTTGGTCGTATAGACAGAGCCATATTTTGAGCTCCAGATTGGTGGTAATTAGTGGAGTGGTTTGGCTGTTCATCTCCAGTTCCAATCCATGGTGAAAGTTTTAGCCACTGACGAGTCCATCATGACTTGATGGTCGGAGCAGCATATCTGTTCCCTCAGGGCGGCATCCGTCCCAGTGCAATAATGAAGCTGGACTCACCAAAAACCTGATTTCCAAGAGGAACCATATCAAGAAATGCGCCTTTTGCCCAGTCATTTTGGGTCTTTGCAGCAACTTGTGCTATCCGATGTACTGTTCCAGGCTGTTCCAGGATTCCATGTTCAACTTGGAAGGTCCCGTTGATCAGCTCCTGAACTCCCCTCCTGCTACAGGCGGAGAAGTATTTGCTGCTGCCAGAAGGTGACGCTTCGTGTGAGCCCTACTCGCCCCCGGTGGGAAATGCCAAGTACTTGGCTCATGACATCCGCATTGAAAGGTGAGTGGCAGCAGCCAAGGCATCAGTCTAGCTTCTGCGAACTGGCATGGCGTGCAGGACGGAATCTGCCGCAGCTCCTTGGGCATTGACCACTTGTCGCATAGGAATCCAAGTTCTTTCTTGGGACGTATACATTCATTCCATTTAGACCATCTAGATAAATCTAGATCATTTTTTCTGAATTCATAAAGATTCAGCAGCTCTGAAGGACCTCCGAAGCGCAGGTGGCTGCCGTCTCGAGTGGAGGAGATCTGATGTGTTCATGACGTGGGTTTCACTTGGAAGGTCATTATAAATTTCTTGGCTCGTTTCGAAGGCAGTAGAATGAAACTTCTCTTAAATCTGTCTCAAGAAAGCAGTGGAAAACATATTCCAACCGGCTTCATTTCAGATGTTGTTCAGGTAACCAAAGTCATCCAGTTAGGGAGATGTCTTGTGGCAAGCCTGGCAAGCGTTGTTTTGTTGTCTTTTGCCCAAGTTGGTTCAAGAACCTGTAGTGGCTGTGAGATAGCGCATGTACATATGATGCATGAAAATTCCATGATGATCATGATGCCTCGTTGCTTTGCACCAAGACAACCTTTCGGTAACTCCACTTGCGAAAGCCTCCCAGGACTTCTGCGGCCGTTCACGAGACCTTTGGCTCCTGCTGAAACACCTGGGCTCTGCACGACGCTGTGTGCTGGTGCATGGCCCAGCCAAGGTGAGGGCCAGAACGCAGGAAGTGAGACCATAGCATAGTGGGACCTGACATCCAACATCATCCAACTTCTAGGTAAACCGGTAAACCTGGAGTCAGATGGAAAAAGGAAGATGCAAAAAGATTGGCACTTGTTGGTATTTGTCTGCGTGTTGTTGCATGTGGATGCGTAAATCCAGTGTTCAATGACATAAGTTTGAGCCTTTGAAAGGTGGCCATGCCAAATTGGATTGGGATTAATTGGGCGAGACTGCCTTTAAATCTCCAGACTGTCTCCTTTGAAATTGATGTTGTTTTGGCGTTGGTTTAAAATTGAACATGCGAATCATCAGATCACGCTTCGAAATGTCCGTTTCCAGGCCTCATACAAAATTCTATGTCACTCTGAAAGTCCTGCAAATAAACTGCCACAAGGATGTTTAGAATTGGTACATACCATCTTTCTTCCTTCATTCGCATAGATGTTTCGCGTAGTGGTGTATGGTATATTATAATATCAGAATTTGCTTTTTGTGGAACGGTGTGATTGCGCTCATCCTTTGAGACTAATTATGGCTTCGATGCGGTGCTACACAGTTTTCAGGGGGTTCAACTTGAAGATTTGCCAATTTGGAGAGCTCATCGTCCATAGTCCAATTTCATCCAATTCCTTTTTTTTTTGATTTGTTTCTCCAAAAATTTCTCATTCATCCGGACCCCGAGATTTCTCACATTTTCCCAAAAGAATCCCTGGCGTTTCTTTCAAAAGCGGCAGATTGGCAAATCCGCGCTGCTGACTGAGCTGGCCCGTTTCGCCGCTGCGCCGGGGCGCAGCTATGAGAACCGCGCCCGGTGGCCCGGGACATCCATGGGTTGAAACGTTGAGAAAACATGGATGTTTACTGGAAAATATGGTATAGAAACATAGAATCGATAAGGGGTAGGACATCCTATGTAAAATAAGGATTGAACAATGGATGTGGGGATTAAAACCAACTAAATTATGGGGGTATACTAGGGCACACAATGAAATCTTGAGCCAACAAGCGCAGTCTGTGTCCCTTTTTCACTGGTTAATTAAGAGAGAAGTCCCCCCATTCCACCACCAATAGGGTCAATGACATTAAATGACAATAGATGCTCTTCAACCCCCAAGAAAGCGTTGAAAACAGAGTTTGATGGAGTTGAGTGAATGGGTTTTTGAGACTTTTTTTGAGACTTTACAATGGATTTAGATCAATCCAAAGTATGAATGCTGAGAAAGTGTGTCATGGATGTCATGGCGCAGTGGGACAAGCGCCTTGTGGAATCAGACACACTTTTGCTGACCTGGGATGCTCAGTGGATTTCAATGATGCAGCTTTGAGTTTTTCCCAAACCGTGCATCTCGGAAAGCTGCATAGAAGCACAATCTCTGTCCTCAACCAAGAGAGCCATAAAGTTTTGATGGTTCAATTCCAGTTCCATCTGGTGGCACCCAGGTGATTTATCTGGCATGCGACGAGGCGGGCTGCGGGGCGCCGGAAAGTAAGGTGACAGGACATGGTGGTGGACGTACATGGGTCACAGACGAAAGGGAAGAAACAAATTTTAACAACCAGAAAAGGTCAGGGGAGAGTCTTCTTGGTGCTCCCTGGATGTATATTTAGACTCTTGGGCCCAACTTTCACTTTCAAGATCTTCTTAGGTTGTGCGGAGGCCGATACTTGGCCCTTTGGTTTCAATAGTCGGCGCAGGCAGATCTTGAGAATCGAGAGGACCGGAGGGCGGGGCACAGCTTCGATGCCCCCATGGCATAGTTGAGTCACTGGAGACAAGTGACCAGTGCAGGTGGGATCCAACGTCATCTGAATTTATCCAACTTGCAAGGAATCCAGGCTACCAAAATCCATTTATCCTTTCTCTTTGAGAAGTCTGAAGCTTTAGGGTTTGGAATCAAAAGAGTTCAAAAGAGTGGTATGCTACTTTATTCTTGATTATAATATTGTCTCGTTATTTTGGATTTTTTTGTCCAAAGGATGACCACCGAACCGTCGAGGAGCCTCTGCTCTATTTCCTACGGCAACTCTTCCGACAGCTACGGATCGAGGCAACGGGATTGGAACATCATGAACGCATTGGCTTTTTCTTATGAGGGAATCCAAAATCATCCAAAATTGCTTAGTATCAATGGGAAAACTGAAAGGAAAATGGGGCACCCATATCTTAGGAACCCGCCATATGTCAAAAACTCATCTCTGCCTAGCTATTTTGGGGGTGGACATGAACAGCATGGTACCAGAGCTTTGACCTTCTCTCAGGAACATGCAGCCACTGAGCAGCTTGAGGTGGGGCCAAGCATCACAGCTCCAAAGGTGCCACCCAGTTGGGTAAAGACCCAGACATTTCGCCAATGTTCTGCAATCGCCATCGGAGACCTATTAACTCATTGAATAATTATTGAAAGATGGATTCAACATTTTCAACATGATTCAACCATGTTCAAAAACCATTCCCATATATTCCCATAGTATTCATGTAAATTCTGGTAGATTTCAACAAGGCCCACCAGCGCAGGAGACGTTCAACATGGATCTCTCCGCCCAAAGCGAGGCTGATGAAACCGTGGGGATCATCCTGGGGAAAGCCCTAAATTCATCCAAATTCATTTAAATTCATCTCGATTCCACGAATTTCCCAAAGATCAGCACGTTAGCTGTTAAAATGACCAAAAATTGAGGCATCCCCCATTTTCGGAGAAATCCAAGTTTCGGCAGTTCAGATTGGAGGTGCGCATCCTGCGAAGTCTGCAGCTTAGCTTCGCCGGTCGGGATTGCCTCTTGGTATTTGCCAGACCAGAAAGCTTCTATCACCAAAAATTTGAAAGAATTCTTCAAAACTTGTTCAAACATGACCTTGGTTCTTGCCAGATTCACCAAATCTTTGTCATTTTGAAGCCAATGTGCATCCCCTGAGTCAAGGCCAAATTGTCCAAAGTCTTCAAGAACTCGCATCGCTTCACCACCCGGTGCTTCTGATCTTGGATGATCTGGACCCGGGGATCGAGGGCGGGGTTGCAACGTGGTGTCAGAAAATGGGGAACAATGGCCCAATGTCCCCAATTTATGGCAATGCTTATAGAGAAAACCAACGGATTTTGGACTCCAAAATGTTTAGATCATGTGTTGGGCGCATCTTCGTTTCACACGTCATGGTTCTTTCAGCATTGCAGGTTGCATGCGCAGCCTGGTTCGTGTTCACGGCAACTTGCAGGATTCCCTGCTGCAAAGCAACGCAGAGGAACTCAGGCACCCAGGGAATCTATCTGGGCACAGGTTTTACAAAGCCACGCTTAAAGTGTTTTCTCTTGGTCTTAATGCTCCGGATGTGGTGACGGCTAGTGGCATCTGAGATCACGTTGTTGTTGTTGTTGTTGTTGTTGTTGTTGTTGTTGTTGTTGTTGTGGTTGTTGCTGTTGTTGTTGCTGTTGCTGTTGTTGCTGTTGCTGTTGTTGCTGTTGCTGTTGTTGCTGTTGCTGTTGTTGTTGTTGTTTTGCAAGTGTTGCATTGTGTTTCATCGTTTTTCATCGTGTTTCATCGTTTTTCATCGTTTTTGCATAAAGGGATCCGTCCAGGCACATGTGAAGTTGCCTCAAGATTTCTTATAGTTTTGCTCTGTGTCACCGCCATCTCCGTTGGCAGGAAGGTTCTCACTGAGTTGCTGCTGCGCACGGAGGGTCTGGAGTTGCTGCTGGCAGCACGTGAGGCTGGAACTCTTTCAGTGCGGATGATGTACAAGTATACATTAGAATATTAAGATGCTGAAAAAAATGTACCTCATTTTTGGGCCATGTCCAAATTCCGATACCTGGGCCATTTCTTTTTTGTACCCTGATGGTAGGCTCCGTTTCAAGCTCTTGGCGCCCACAAGGTCCACGAAATTGACTGCTGTTGTGTCGATTATGATGTTTCTTGATGTTTGTGTTGAAGTTTGGTTCATGCTGTGGCCGCTGTTGATCTTCTTGATTGTTGCGGGTGATCTGATGCTTCGGACCCTGGAGAAGGAGTCACTTCCACCAGATCCACCAGTGTGACATTCAGGTGGTGGGTTACCATTTGGACCCTCTGCAGCCCTTGGACGCAGCCCGCCTCTTCCTGTGCTCAACTGAGTTGCTGCCGGTCAGCCGAACTGCGAGTGCCGATGAGTGCCGTGGGGACGCGGCATTCAGGTGGAGAGTTCACCGTCCCTTGGTGGTGGCGGACTTTTCAGTCGCTGTCCCCAGGATCACAGCTTGACCCATGGGATTGGAGAGTGCAAGGGGCAGCGTTTATCACTACCATTGAGCAATCCTTTGAGGGAATGGCTTCACTGCGGCCTTCTGATTGACACAGCTCACTGAGGTCTTGTCGGGTAGCGAAGCAGAGGCATGTGAGATTGATTTATCTGATTTTGAAAGTGTTGATGATTAGACGGGTTTTGGGTGAAGTGTCCTTGTTCAGTGAAACTTCCTCATTGGGCTCCCCAAAAACAGCTGACATGCAGAAAGTGTTGCAAGCTTCAGGTGTCAGTTCTACATTGTTTGAGATGGCGCCAGGGTCCGTCCAGAATGCTGCCCCTGATCATGAATGCACAAAACCGAGGCATTTTCGGGGGCTGTGGGATACCTCAAGTTTCTTGGTGGTTTGGACTTCTGTACCTTACCGCTCAGGTGATTCCAAGTGACCCATACAGTGCTCAAAAGAGATTGCACGCAGCTATTGCAAAAGTGGTAATTGCTAGAGTCAAAACGCATTGGCCAACTGCAGGGGTGCTGCTTCAACAGCTGTCGGGCCATCCTTTGCTTCAGCGGAGCACTCAGTCCATCAGAGGTACTCATGTTGTGAACTTTGAAATTGGCCATCGGCTGCAATTGGGTTCATTGATTCATTCCCTTGTGAGAGCAATACAAACATCCTACAAAAACGAACAGAACAGCAAGCCAGACTTTTTTTTGATGGTCTATGGTATCAAATGAATCTATGCTGGCCCCACTTCTCCCCGTCGCGGTTTATGGATCGTTCAGGTGGTGTGGCGGTTGCCCTGGACACTTGCGAGCCGGAAGCTGAGATCAGACCTGAGACCAGATGAGACCGTGGCAACTTGCAGCGCCCTGAGGCCGCTGCCGACCATGTACTGCCAGGGGGTGGTACCTTATGGGCCTCTTCGAGAAAGTTAGTCAGCAGGATCAAAGCATGGCGGGCATAGCCTCTGTGTTGGCAGATACATTGAGGTGTTGTAGTGGGCAGGAACGAATCTGGAGGAATAGGCCTGGGAAGAAATGTAGAAAGAATTCCATCGTTGTGTGTGTGTGTGTCCACCGGGATGCCTTTGCGAGGTGCCAAATCCCGACATTTATTGAAGCTAAGGACATCCACGAGCACGTGCAGTCCAAAGCGGTCGCTGGCGAGTGGAAAACTGTATCCGTGTCACTTGAGGCATTTTTGATGTGGCGAAACAAACGCAGTTGTTACACGATGCCGGTGACACCCCTTGACATGCCATCACCTTGGCTTAAGCGACATTACCATAGCTCAAGAATTACGTAAACGCAAACACAAAAATTATTAGCCGGATCCTTCGCAAGCTTTTGAGCAGTTAGTACACAAACCAGCTCTGCCAGACACCGTAGAATCTTCCCATGCAACATGGTTAGAATAGACCCAAGGATTTTAAGAACCCAATGTTGGAAATATCCGTGCAGAATGCATAACCTGATAGAAGTAACATGATCTAGTTGCTAGAATCATCGTGCTGTGAAAATTGAGACATTGGTGTAATAGTAATTTGCAAAAAGAAGCTTGCGATCCTTAAGGCAACGGTTTGCCTGACATTGAAAGCACACAATTTATGCTCGCTTATGTCTGCGGATGCGCAGATGGTCATGTAGAGATGGAACTTGCAGAGACACCTGAGCGATGTTTGACAGGACCGGCTGCCGAGACTTGACAGGATGCATTGTGGTGCTTGTGGTGTGTAGCGGGCTTTCATAATCCGGTGCGCCTTCTTTGCAGTTGGCAATGAAACGGGCCAAGGTGATGGAGGTTCTCTGGGTTCTAAGAAATGGGAGTTTAAATGTTTTAGCTCTGTTCAGGCCTTCTGCGTATGTGCTGAAAGGCAGCCTGCCACCACCATCCAATTACAGTGCCTTAACGTCATTAGTTGAATACTGGCCAGAACAATGTCCAGCCTGGCAGTTTAGATTTTTATGCAATCCAAAAAGTCAGTTTTAGGGCCGCATTCGATTCTCTCTTGTGTAGAATTGGCCTGCTACTAAGGTGCTCCAGGTGGAAAAACTCTTTTCTGGCAAAGCTTGGCGGCTTCCTACCAGCAACTCGGTCGTGAATACTGCAGTGGAGGCGCTTGATGTTGCCAGGAGTTCAGAGCAGCTGGCTGGCCACGGCCTATTTGGTGATTTCAAAATAGGTCTTGGCCCAAAACCTGCCAGTACAGAGGTAGACCGGCGCTTGCCAATTTTGGGTCGTTCTGTTTGCAATGGGGGATTGGGATAGCCCTGTTCGATCCCACAACATGTTTGTCCCTGACTGGAATTCTGTTGCAAAGGGCACTTCAGTTTCTGTAGTCATCGATGGGACGGTTTTCACTGATGATTTGGTGATGGGAATCTCCTTACCTGATCACAGGCCAGTCAGGATCTTTGGAGAGATCAATGCTCAGGTGCGTGGATGTCGTCGCCTTACAGTGCTTGGAGCCTTGGTTGACTTCACTCCCCCCTATGTGGATCTGCTGTTGACTGATGCCAGTGAAGTGGTTGCACATGGACTTAAGCCGGCATGTGAGGTCTTCCGTTCTGTGGAATTTTGTGCTGGGTTGGGTGCCACGGGGGTCGGTCTGGCTGCTGCGGGGTTTGACCTGGCGTGCAGTGTTGAGTGGCGTGCTCCTCTTGCGTCCTTGCATGAAACTGTGCATCCTACTGTCCCTGTTGTGCTTGGTGACATTGGTGACTTGGCATGTCTCAAGCAAGTGGCTTCGTTGGTGGATCCCCCCTTTTGTTTGGTTGCTGGAATTAGCTGTCAGCCCTACTCAGTTGGGGGTTCACAAGGTGGTAGTCAGGATGAGAGGTCCAACACCCTGCCGTCCACGCTCAGAGCTTGTCACTTGTTCCAATGCCCACTCTTGATTTTGGAGTGTGTACCGCCTGTCCGAACCAATAGGTATGCACGGTCGCTCTTTGCCGCTTTGGAATCTGAGCTTGGATACCACATCACTGAGGTCACACTTCGACTTGAGGACATATGGACTGCCCGTCGGTTCAGGTGGTGGTTGGTTGCGACCCATCCTTCATTGGGTAAGGTGTCGATCCCTGATTGGCCAAAGTTTGCTGGTCTGGTGGTTCGTGATTTGATGCCTGTGATTCCTACTTGGCCAGACGATGTTGTTGAGGAGTTGCAGTTGAAACCCCATGAAGTCAGGCAATTCACACTGGATGGTTCTCACATGCGGAAGTATGTCCTGCAACCTGACCAAAAGCTTCCTACCAGTTTGCACAGTTGGGGAAGCCAAGCTGATCCGTGTCCATGCACCTGTCGTCAAGAGCCTTTCAGTGAAGCCCTGGTTCGAAGTAAAGGCATTTATGCTGTGGTGGTCCAGATCTTGTCTGAGTCAGGTGAACCACAGTACAGACATTTGCATCCGACTGAGCTTGCCCTTTTGAACGGTCTGCCACCTCCCGATGTTTGGAACTCAGCGGACAGACCTGACTTGCGGCTTTGTCTGTGTGGTGTTGGACAACTTGCGTCTCCACTTCAATCTTTGTGGGTAGGGGCATGCATTCGTGCGCAGTTGCTGGAAAGATGTGGTCTTCCTGCGGACTCTGTTTCTCCTGTCTGTCGTCTCCAGCAGTTCAAGCAGAAGCTGTATGACGTTGCCAAGACTCTCTTTCGCAGTGTCCCGCCTGTTGCCCCGACAATTGTGGATCCTGAGGTGCATGAAGTCACGCTGGTGTATGCCGACTGTACTCAGGTCACAGTGCAGGTTTCTGCCGATGCCACTGTTTCTCAGCTGCGTCAAGCGGATGATGCTCTTCAAGGACCGGAGGATGGAAAGTGGATTGATGCTCAGTCTTCGTCTGTCTTGCAAGGTCATGAGACGGTTAGTGGTCGCACCATACAGGTCTGTTCATCCCCGTCCAGTGAGCCGATGTCTGAACCTGATGCTACTGGAATTGATCCCATTCAGCTTGAGCAGGATTTGCCGATTGTCCCTCACCGACCTGTCTTGGATGTGTCTCTCTCCAGCCCTAGCCGTGGACTTGATGTCGTGTCTGATTTTCATGGCTTGAAGCGTCACTGCACGGTTGATGTCCGGCTTCCGGTTGATGCCCTTTCTGGTCTTCTTGCTTTGACCGGTCCTCAGTTGGCTGCACTGGTTCCTCCGATTGTGGTGACCAGAGAACAGTGTGTTGCCATGCGTCAGGCCTCAACTTCGAGCTCCTCTCGCTTGCAGATTCTCCACAACCAGGGAGTTGCCATGGGTGATGATGAACTGACACTTCATGTGATGTCTTGTGTGCAGTTGTCAGGTCGTTCTGATCTGCGGTTTTTAGATCCCCTGCTTGCTTCTGGGTGGCTCCGTCATGGTACCGTTGATCAGGTACGTGCTTGGATGGATGAATTGCCGCAGGTGACGTGCATTGTCACTGTGGTGCTCCTTGACGACCATTGGATCCCTGTCATGTGGACGTGTGGCCTCTCTGAGGTAAGGGTCACAATGTGGGAGCATGATGATGGAGTGGTTGAACCGTTGTGTCCGTTGCATGGCTTGATCAGTCAAGCGTGGCAGCGTCCTATGTTTGCTCTTGCATGCAACAGGCGTTCCTTTGGACGTGATCACTGCGGTACTGCGGCTGTGTGCTTCCTTGGCCAATTGTTGCTGAACAAGCCCTTGCCTGTCCATGATGAAGATTTGGTGCGTATTCATGCTGAGTTGCGCACAAGCTTTGGTGCTGCCATTGGACTTTTGACTGAAGTGCCAAAGCCTTGGTGCTGGGGGTTGGGTGTCCCTGATGTGACCGGTCTTGTCGCCAACCTGTTGCAATTGCATGGTGTGCCACATGCCCAGTGCAATTCACGTGCCAAGATGATCCTCCAGAGCTTAGGCAAGACTGAAGTCCAAGCTGCTGTCACAGGAGTTGCACCATGGAAGTCATTGAAGCACTTGGCCAACCTGCACCAGCCAGTGATCCAGCTGGTGTTGCCCGATGAACAGGCTCAACATGTTGCAGCCCGCCAGAGCCAAACCAGCATGCCTAAGAAGAATGCAGGTGGCACCAAACGCCTCCCCCCTGCCAGGCCAGCTGAGCTGGACCCATCCAAGTTGGTTATTGATCATGGGGCCTTTTGCATTGATGCTGACGAGCCATTGTCACAGACCCCCTTCTCGACTTTGGGACCTCTGTCTGTTGGAATTGCCTTGGCCACCTACGCGGACGCTGCTCCCTTTCTTGATGATGGACAGGTGTTGTCACGTGGTGGGCTTGCCCTGCTGATCATTAACCCTCCTGCTGACTTGTCCACATCCTTGCAGTGGTCGTCTCTGAGGTTTGCTGCACGTTGCACTTACAATAACGAACCCATGTTGTTGTCTGGAGTCTTGGTTCAGCTTGGCCGCAAAACTGTGTACCAATTCCGTGCCAAGAATGTGCCGTCCATCATGTCCGTTGATGTTGCATGTGCCCGGGTTACTGTCCACTATGATCAGTGGGAGCAGAGCTGGGAAGACTTTGCCAGCAAGCCAGTGAAGCATGTCCTTGCGTGCATCCCATGCCTTCAAACTTGCAGAACGGAAGGATGCCAATGTCCTGCCTGGCACCCCCAACAGTCGGATCAGCATGATGCCCTGCTGGATGTCTTTCGCAGACAGTTCTTCGGTGACAATGGGCGTCCGACGAAGTGGGACAAAGCTTCTTACTTTGCGGTCCTCATTCGATATGTGAAAAGCCTGGAAACAACAGTTTTGTCTCTGAGTGGCCGCAATGGAGTTTTCATCGAACCCAAAACTGAAGATGCCATGCAGCCTCACAATGATTTTCAGGTCATTTGGCTTCCGAACCTGGACTTTGCAGCAATCGCTCATAAAGCCAAGTGTGAGGCCCACTGCATCGGCATTGCCAGGTCAGGCCGACGCTTTGGACTTCGCGTCATGGCTCAGCACTTTGCCGAAGTTTTTGCCAGTGTCAAACCAGAAGCAGTTTACTTGGCTCCAGGGTCCCGACTGACCTACCACACGGGCCCTTGGCCGTATGGTTGTGACAGAAAGAGCATTGCCAAAGCTCTGCGTGCTGTTGGGTGGGAATGCAGACCCTTGCAGCCTTTGCAAAGTGTTGTCGGTGGGTTGGTTTGGTCGGTCCAGGCCATTTGTGAACCCCCCAACAATGTCCTGTCAATGCAGCATGGTCAGGTGGTTTTGACCAGGCATGATCCGCGTCAAGCACCTGCTGAGGCCCCTGCACCTGTTGTCGGCCAAGAAGCCACTGTCCGCCTGTGCTCTGTACCTGCTGGCAGTGATGACCCGTGGCTCACCCATGACCCATGGAAGAAGGCCATCGCCACAGTGCCGCCAGTTGTGTCCCCGGCTCCCACAGCCAATGCCTTGCAAGAACTTGAGGCCAGAGTTGAACGCAGCATTCTGGCCAAGCTGCCGGCCCAGTCGGAATGCATGGAAGTGGACGAGCAGGACCAACGTCTTCAGCAGTTGGAGCAGCAGGTCCAGCAATTGGCGGGACGTCATGCCAAGCTTGAAGCCGTCGTTACCGACAACCATGCTCAGCAGTCGGCACAGGTACAGTCCCTGCAACAACAGATGCTGGTCTCCATGGACCTCCAAAGCAAGCAGATGCAGACAATGCTCACGGAGCAAATGTCTCGCATAGAGACGATTTTGTGCAAGAAGAGCCGGACCGAATGAAGGTCCGGGAACCCTGCAAAGTTGCCCGGTTGTGGGGTGTTCCCATGGTTCTTCCGAATGTTCAGGGCGCTTTTCCTGATGATGTTGTTCTTTGGGACTTTTAGGGTTGGCGAAGCTACTGTCCCTGGTCCAGCCGCTGATGCAACTTGGAGCATTGGGATTTGCAATCCTTCCGGATTGCAAGGTAAGTTTCAGTTGGTTAGCAGCATAGATGCCTCGGTCGTCGCCATCAGTGAGACTCACTTGTCCAAAAGGTCTACCAATGCTTTTTCTGGCAGCCTCCGGGCTATGCGTTCCCGTTTTACAAAAGTTGTCACTGGCGCCCCACTCCCGCAGAGGGCCGCCAGTAGCGATGCAGGTAGTTATGCTGGAGTTGCGTTCGCTTCATGCTTTCCTTGCCGCACCTTGGCAGTTCCATGGCCAGTTGATGCGTACGAGACCAGCCGTGTTCAGTGTGCTGCCTTTTTCAGCCCTGCAGGGTGGGTCACAGGTGCTGTTGTGTATGGGTACCCACAAGGCAAGACCCATGTTGACGCCAAGGGGAAAACTGAGTTGCTGTTGGATTTTCTGTTTGACCATTTGCACTCCTTGCCAGGTCCTCTGTTCTTCGCTGGCGATTGGAATTTTGAGCCACGTGAATTGGAAGTAGTTGCCAAACTTCGTGCTGCTGGTTGGGTGGAAGTCCAAGACCTTGTGCTACAGCGTACTGGTGCCCCGATCCAGAAGACATGTAAAGGGGCCACTAGAAAGGATCACCTCTGGTTGTCCCCTGAGTTGGTGCTTGCCTTTGTGGGACTGTCCTTGGATTTTGAAACCTTTGCCGATCACGCTGTCATGGTTGCACGGTTCCGTGGGGATACTTGTCATGCTGAGCGCTTTGTGTGGCCGTGTCCTCAACCTGTGCCCTGGTCCCAAGTCCCTCCGTCTGGATTTGCAGTGGAGTTTTCCTATCCGACTGACCCGTCAACTCAGTATGCAGTGTTGTGGCAACAGCGTGAGCAAAGTGCCCAGGAAGCTTTGCAGGACCAGTGGGTCCCGGCCATGGGTGGTCGAGGTCAACAAACCAAACCCCGCCGTGTGGTTGGCAGGCATGCCCCTATCAAACGAGGGCGCTACCAAGATGTCCAGCCCACCTTTTATGGATTTTCATCGGTGCATGCCCAGCGGTTCAAGCAGTTGCGGCGTCTGCAGAACTACTTGAGGTGGGTTGTGAATCACGAGGCTGGGAAAACCTCGGACACTACTCATGGCATTGCGTTGTGGTCTGCTGTGTTGAAGTCACCTGGGTTTGTCCCTTCCTTTTCCCGTTGGTGGCCTGAACGTTGGTATGTGTGCCCCAATGATCCTTGCAGCATTCCCCAGTTTTGTCCTGCCTCCAGTGTTGCCCATCAGATCTTTGATGCTGTCTTCGCTGAAGTGCGGTTGTTTGAGCGTCGGTTGGTTCACATGCGCGCTGCTCACAGGTCTGCACAGCATGCTGCTGATCGGAACCTGATTTTCAGGGAAGTTTCTCGCCCATCTGCAGAGCCTGTTGAAACGTTGCTTCATCAAGTCAGTGGGGTTGTTGAAGAAGTTGATGCTCAGGAGTCGGCTGTCATCCTTACTGAGTCAGTTGATGTGCGTCCTGGATTTGCCTTGTGGGTCGGGGGATCTCCAAAGGATGTCATACATGCTGAAGCTGATAAGGTGTGGCTTACTGACATCGATGGCATCCAGGCCACTGACAGAGTTGTCCAATCTGAGCCCGTCGGTGACCTGGCGGCTATTTTTGATGCCTTTCATACCCAATGGAAGCAACGCTGGTGCCGTCATGATGCAACTTCCTTCCGTCAATGGGATCAGCTTGTGGGTTTTGCCTCTCGTGTTCTCCGGCCTTCACCCATACCTCACCTCCGGGTTGACGTGGACTTGTTGCGTGCTGAAGTGTCCCGGAAGAAAAAGACTGCAGCGACTGGGCTTGACGGAGTCAGCAGGCAAGACTTGCTCCTTGCCGATGACCAAACGCTGCAAAGTTTGGTCAATGTGTTTTGCCGAGCGGAATCCGATGGCATGTGGCCTTGCCAATTGTTGGCAGGCAAAGTCCACTCTCTCGCCAAATGCGCAGGTGCTTCGGGAGTTGGAGACTATAGGCCCATAACTGTCTTTGGTTTGCCCTATCGTGCTTGGTCCAGCCTCCAGTCGAGACACCTCTTGCAATGGGCTGAAACCTGGGTTGACGAAGGAGTTTATGGTAACAGGAAGGGACGTCAAGCCTCTGACCTTTGGAACTTCTTGCTTCTCCAGATTGAAATGGCATACAGCACTGGCCAACCCATTTGCGGGCTATCGGCTGACTTGGAGAAATGCTTCAACTGTATTCCCAGGTTTCCTGCGTTGTGCCTTGCCGTTCTTGCAGGAACCCCTTCCGAAGTTACAACTGCATGGGCTGGTGGACTTGCCTCCATGAAACGGCACTTTAAGGTCCGTGAGTCGTTCTCCAGTGGCTTTCTGACTTCAACTGGATTGGCCGAAGGGTGTGGACTTAGCGTCTATGGGATGCTATTGGTTGACCACCTTTTCCACGTCTGGACTTCCTACCAAGGGGTGCCCTGCCGGTCTCTGTCCTATGTTGATGATTGGCATGTGTTCACTTGGGACGTTGACTATGCCGTGCGGCAATTGGACTTGGTTGTGGAATTTGCCTCCATGTTGGATTTGACTGTGGATCGTCGCAAGACTGTTGCTTGGTCCACCGATGCCCAGACACGGAAAGCCCTGAGAGACCGCAATGTTCCTGTGGTTCACCAAGCCCGTGAGCTCGGAGGCCATTTCGGGGTGTCCCGACAGTTCACCAACAAAACGGTGACGCAGAGGCTTGAGGCATTGGAAGACTTCTGGCCGAAACTGCGCAGTTGCAGAGCCAGACATTCTGCAAAAGTGCACATGTTGCGGGCGGTTGCCTGGCCGCGAGGGCTCCATGCCATTGCCAGTGCGCCAATTGGTGATCATGTTTGGACTGAACTTCGCCGTCGTGCCACTAATGCCTTGACTTGCAACAAGCCTGGTGTGAACTCTCACTTGCTCCTTGGTCTGGTTGAGGTGCGTGCTGATCCCCAGTTGGTTGCTTTGCTTTGGACGTGTCGGGCTGCCCGTCTCAGTTGTGACCTTGACTTCTGGACTGCCTCAGTCGCTAGTGTGGCCCATGGGGACATGGACTTACCCCCCAATTCGGTGGCATCAGTGTTGTTGGGTCGTCTCCAGCATGTGGGACTCCATGTTGATCGACTTGGTTTAGTCCATGATGCGTTTGGCTGCTTCTCGGTTCATCAGGGCAATTTTGCTGAGGTTGAAATGAGGCTCACCTGGGCGTGGTATCAAGTGGTTGCTTCGAAGGTTCAACATCGTTCTGAATTTCATGGACTTTGGCAGGTCGATGTACCTGCTACCCGGCGTGCCCTTGCTGCTTTGGCTCCGGACGACCAGGCTCTGCTGCGGTTTGGATTGACTGGTGGACTTTTCACTGAGGCCTACAAAGCCAAATGGGCTGATCAATCAGATGTTTGCAGATGGTGTGGGGGGCGTGATACTCTGCAACACCGCTATTGGGAGTGCATTCAGCATGCAGATCTTCGTGCCTCTCTTGCGGCCGATGCGGCCAATGTTTGGACTTCCCTGCCCCCTGCCCTGTCTTTGCGTGGGTGGGCTCTGTTGCCTCCCACTTGGCAAGCTTGAATTGCCACACTGGCTGGACTCCCCGCTGACGCGGTCCCACCGTCTAGCTCCTTTCGCCGTGGAGTTTGGAATGATGTGTTCACGGATGGTTCCTGTCTTTGGCAAGCACATGTGTCTTATCGTGTTGCTTCTTGGGCCGTTGTGTTGGCTGCTCCCTTTCAGCCGTCATGGACTCCCGAGATGGCTGTCGTCCTCCATGCTTCTGCGTTGTCTGGGGTGTGCCAAACTGCGTTCCGTGCTGAACTTGCTGCTGTTGCGTATGTCTTGCATTGGGCGGCTCGAACCGGCATTGCTGTTCGTGTTTGGTCGGATTGCTCGGGGGTGGTTAACAAGGTGAAGCTGATGTGCAATGGGCGTTTTCGCCTTGGTGTCAATCGGCCCAACAGCGACTTGTGGATTTGGATTGCTGCTTCATTGGATGACATTGGGGTGGATCGGGTTCAAATCCGTAAGGTTGCCGCCCACCGCACTCTGCAAAGTGCCCGGACGGCAGATGAGATGTGGCAATTCTTTCACAATGGTTATGTGGATAAGGCTGCCCGCCTTGCAAATCAAGCGAGGCCGGAACAGTTTTGGAAGCTTTGGGAACAACATGTGCAGGCGACTCAGGCAGCTCAGAAGCTTGTCAATCAGGTTCAAGCTCTTCACGTTGCAATTGGCCGCCGCCATGTTTTGTCGGAAGAGGAAGCAGACCAAGGTACAGAGGTGCCGCAGCGGAGCACCAGACAGTTTGAGATGAATTTTTCTCTTGGACGTTGGTTTGGTCATGCGCTGCCCGATTCATCTCGGTTGTTTGGGACGACCCATGTTTCAAGAGTGGTGAGATGGTTTACAGAACGGATTCGTGACACTACAGCAGATGATTTGCGTTGGGTGTCGTTTGCACAGTTGTATCTGGACTTTCAGATGTGCTGGGGACTGCCAGGTCCATTGCGAGTCCAAAATCAGTGGGTCGACATCAGCATGCGGCCCCATCTCACTACATCTGGTTTTTCGTTCAAACAGCAGGTGAAATGGTTCAGGCAACTCTTGAAATCGGTGTGGAGGGAAGCCTCAGCGCACATCGCAATGGAGCAATGCAGGCCACATTCTTCGATGGTCCAGGCATTTGTTCAATGTGCCTCGCTTCCGTGGGCACCTTTTGCGCTCCATACGGTTGACAACTGGCTTGCTGCTAATCTGGTTCAACCGTGCACACGGAATGCTGCCGCCCTTCTCCGCCTACCTGCTCCCTCGCAATGCCTGGAGATGACAATTTAGAGCTTTGCGATGCAGGTGGATCTAGCAAACAGTGCTACGCTCCAGTTACCGAGCTTGCACGCTGACCGAAAATGGGAAAATGGTGATTTCAAAATCAAGAGCAGCCTTCCAAGAGCAGTGAGGCAGAAACATGTCTTAAACTGTTGCGCGGATTTCAGTCCCAGGCTGGTCCCAGATAAGAAGCCATGAAAAAAATTGGTCCTTTTTTTGGGAAAATTCATTTAGAAAGAACATCATCATTTTTCTGTGTGTTTGTTGAATAACAACAACATGCTTGGCTTGGCCCATTTCTTGTAAATATATAACACAAGAAACAAGTGCTGATTTCACAGAATAGCAAACCACAGAAGCAAACTACCAACGAAGGCGAGTTTAGTGAAGCAGGGGATAAACAATGTAGAAAGATGCCAGTGCCAATCGCCAAGCTTTGCCAAGCTGCGCTGAGGTATTTGTCTGAGACTTCGCCTTTTATCCATTGTGCTCAGCAGAGGCATGGGGCTCATGGTTTTAGGGCATGTGCATGTTCATGCGCATGTGTAGGTATTTGTTAATGCGATCCTGAAGTCAGGATAGGTGTTCAATCCAGAATGTTCCAGTGAGTCAAAGGCAGTGCAAGATGTGGTTGATTTGGACATGTTTTGCCCTTTCTGGGTCTTTACTCAATTTTGCGCTTGCGCAGACGTACTTCCGGCAGGGCATGGCAAAACTCAAGAAGCAAAATTAAATTCAAAGGTCCCTCTCTAAAGCATAGTCAGTCTAGTAACCATTACCAAGTATTGAAGTTCTGTCAAGAAACATGTGTCACATCTTCTTACCTTGAAAGTTGGGAAGTCGTTCCCAGTTGTTTCAAAACAGCTGCTGGGAGGTGGCTGAATCGGAGCGCAGATTGTATGCCGGAGGTGGCAATCAAAAGATACCAGGCCTGCTATCGATCTGGCGCGGTGGGTCACTTGCTCCATCCTTGGTTACCTCCGAAGGCCTATTGGGCGAATTTGAAAAGTGAGGAGTACGATGTCTGCTGTCAACCTGGAAAAGTCGAGCGCTGCAAGGACAAGCTTTTCAGCCACCACCGCATTCCTTGCATCCACCGTTGTCTGCCAAACTGTCCTTGGCCAAAATTGCAAGGATATTGTAGGATATCGCATGTTATTTCCAAGAGTTTGGTTTCTTTTCTTGATCAGGAGCCGAAGAGGAAAGAAGGCTTACCATTCTGTGGTTTTCCTTTCGGTTCCGTGGATCACTTGCCGGCATTTCTCCCAGAATTCCAAGTGAGCTTACCTTCAGGCAGCGGTGAGGATTCATGGCTTTGATATGTTCTATGGCAGCAAGTAGCTGGAGGGCTTGTAGACGGCCGTGTGTTTTTTCTCCGTTTTGGGGTGTGGCGTAGTTGCTTGGAGGCCCTATGCGGGTTCTGCAAGGAATTTCCGATGATGTGCCTCGTCTTGAAGAAGGTCAGACATGCGAAGTGCGTTGTAGTTTATTTCTTCTGCGAGGTCCTAGGCACTTGGCAATGATTGCAGACCACTCAGTTGGCACGTTTTAACACCAGCAAGTAAAATTTAGGATATGTTAGGCGTTTCAGACGCATCAGAAATGTCTGAGAGGCAAAAAGCCTTGCTTGCTTCTAGTTTCCATTGCCTTTGGTAAAGTTTTGAGGGGATGTGCATGGTATAAGCCATGAGCACTGGCCATTTCTCAAGTCCACATGATATTGCGAAGCCAAAGCTTCTTTCTTCTGCTTTGGCATTTTGCTTCAAATTCTCGCTTCAAGGATATGTTTCGTGCTACCTCGCAAGGATCTGTATTGCACATCTTTCAATTGCCGGGTCTTCTTTGGAAATGACCTCGAGCCACGATTGCTTTGGTCCACAGCGCTTGTCTCTTGCCTTGAGACAGAGAACATCAAAGTACATCTTGGCCGGGCTTTACATTGGAACTCTTCCCTTTGGATGCCTGGAGTTGCCTGAGGCTGTGTACCTGGACTTGCAACCCAAGCTTCAGGGTCGAGCAATCGATCTTGGTGCAGGGGTTGGTCTGACATGCATGGTGCTCATGAGGATGCCACGGGGCTCGTTGGCGCGTTGCGCAAAAAACATAAAGCGCTATATTTCTTCTGATACTACTTTAGTTTCCGCCAGAAGGTGAAACCCCAAGCTAGCAGCATCATGACCTAACCAATGAAGTATCGGAAGAAGTGTGCCCATGTGAGGAGAGGCGCCGACGTCACATGCACTGACGTGGACGATGCGGCATTGATCTCAAGTTCTAGAAATGCTGCAGCCACGGTTGCAGATGCCACAAGGCAGAACCAGCTGTGGAGGCGCCTAGTCTGCGTTATTAAAAGGTTTCGCTGCACTATTCACACAGGGCTACTCATACTTTCAAGTTTTGTTCTTTGAGGTATGGAAGTTTGACCGTTCTCCGCTTCAATTACTCCAGTGCCAAAGAAGCATGGAGAGACCAAGGCCTGTGTGGGCCCGATCGTTCCAATATGATCAGTAAAACCAGTGTCGCAACAGCTTTGAGCCGCAGCCAGGTGTAGTGCCTCCTTACGACATTGTGGCAATGGCTGCTTCACCGCAGGACTGATTAGTGATG